TCTCTCTCTCTCTCTCTCTCTCTCTCTCTCTCTCTCTCTCTCTCTCTTCTTTTGTGCCATTCATTTCATAATAATTTACAGTATTCAAGTTTATATTTTTTATGCGAAAGAGGCGTTTTTGGAAAATTTCATACGGACTCATGAACGGAGCAGCAACACAATGACATTCTAAATGGTAGAAAACGATTTGGCTTTACCGACAACGACCAGGAGAGGTACATATGAAAAGGACTGTGTATTTGGAGAGAGAGAGAAAAATTGAAAAGGAACAAAACAAAACAATATTAATAACTTTATGACAAATTCTCTTGGTGCGATTAAATGAACGACGACGAGGACGACGACGACGACGAATAATAATTGTTTGCAACTTGGGGTGAAAAACAGAGGCGTGAGACACCTGGATATACGACACTGTCAATCTCTTCTAATCGAATGTAAAATGTACATTGTGTGTATTTTGCGTGATCGAAGCGACAATCGACTTTCTTCGCACCCGAAACGTGTAAAACCGTTTTACGTTTGTGAATGGGCAAACGTGTTCATTGAGCAAAAACAGTCAAACAATTGATGAGCGATTTGGTTTTTCCGATGTGCTGCTCTTTGTATGTTATGTGGATCATAAGTGGCTGTTCAATGCATACAGAAGGACCAAATATAAATCGCCATTTCATGCCATCGAAAACCGTGAAATTGATTTGCAATTCGATGCGGCACTTTTTTTTTCTCAAGCGACACACAATTTACTAACTACTTCAAGAAATTCGTTCCCTTTTACGCTACAAAACAAACATTTATTCCCGGCTCCAAAGTTTATTGTGTGACATTCGAAAATCGTTTCGAAAATAATCACTGAAAATCTGGAATTGGTATGGAAGTGATCAGAACGAATCGCGGTTGACACGGGAAGCAAATGTCTGTTCTTGATTTGACTGAACCTCAGAACCTGCCGCTATCGCACACCAATTTTTAATTTTTCGAAGGAAAAACCATCAAAATTAAACAGAACATTTCCATGTAATTAAAATTCATGGAAGCGTTCTGGGCACAAGAAACCGAAATCGAAACAAAAAAAAAACGTAAAATCGGCATTTCATTTATGTTCAAAGTATTTCAGATTGATTGGTCAATACGATATCGACGATGCGCTAGAAAATGAATTCTGTCCACGCATTACATGTTAAAATTGCAATTATTTTTAATTGAGCGTTTATACGATCGGCTAGTGTTTGACCGAAGGAATACATGCCGCCACAAGAAACAACAATTACAGCCAAACAATAATACAATTAAGTAACCCACTCCTGTATTGAGCTGTTATTGTTGTTAATCCATTGTGGAATGCCAAAATTGTTCGATCATATTTAAACAAAGACGATCACTTCACTTTCATGCTTAATTTGGCCTTTTTCGAATGCGTAATTCTGTGCCAACGAATTCTAATCAGCCTTTTTCATTTAGTTCAAAACATTTGTAGTTTTGGTATCGGATCAAAATTGTGCGTTATTGTTTTGTCTTGTCTATCGTCTTGGTGCCATATGCAACATAATTGATAATTAAATCACGAATTGTCATATTATTGACGTTACCGTCTGCCGATCAATCATCATAAATATTTATAATATTCTTCAGATTGGTTGTGCTCTTTTTCGCTCTCTCTCTCTCTCCCTCTCTCTCTCTCTCTCTCTCTCTCTCTCTCTCACGCTTCATCTGATTGTAGTTGGATCGTACGCCCAACGGTTATGCCATTTGCGAGTGTGTTTTTAATGTTGTCGACACGTAGCCTGGGCCTAGAAGCTCACTTCAACACACAAAAGACGCCGAACACTCAACACACAGATAATGTTTTTTAATATACTTGACACAAACTGAAGAATTTTGACTGATTGATCGACAACAAAAAAAAACAATCACAATTTGTTGTGACATATGTTGATCGAAATGATGTTGTACCGAAGGTGACAAACGCCATTGTCGATTTCCATGAATCTATGAAAATCATCACGTTTTTTTCGCAATATCCCGTCGGCCGAATCAATCACACTCACTCATACGCTGATATTTGTTTGATAAACCAATTCGTTGAATCGAAACTGCAGTGTTTAAGCCAATTTTTGCATTGTTAATTGAATGCAAATGTTGCACTGTATCAGCGGTCGATTTCATGAATAAATCGGTGCTTGGTGCTATCGCAGAAGCGTGCAACAGCAAAAAACACACAATATTTTGCATTTTAACGAGCCAACAAATTTCATCTTGATTTGTTATACGGTTTTATTGCAGCAAAAAAAGAAAAAGAAAATAAACTGAGCGATTATTGTTGTGAAAATTTCTCAGTGATTGTGATGAGTAATTGATTTTATGTGCTTCCGACACGTGAACCGAAACATTTATGTGAGAGAATAAATCGAATTAGTGAAGAGAGGAAGAAAAAAAAATAAGCAGTGGAACAACAACAGCAACAACATCATCCAAAAACCAAACTCACTGGCTGGTAATAAAAAACCGCCTTCCAGAGATGCCGCAACAATAACCAAGGGTCGGTCGTAATTCACCAATCGATTTGCAACGTTGGTCGCTCGCTGCTCTCGCTCCAATATATAGAAATGTGTGTGTGTGTTTTTTGTCAACATCATCATGAAAAGCAATCCGAAAACATGCTGAGAACTTATAAATTCCATTAAGTGTGTATGGTTCGGTGGCGCTAGAAAAAAAAACGAGATTGGTTACACCCACTAGGACACAAAATAAAATTGCTTCATTCGAGCTGCATAGATTAAATTATTGCTTGAATTTATGGGTGACGTCGAAAATAAAAACAAAATAATAGTTTTCGTTGCATTTCGATCGAAATAGGCGACATCGTCACTGAACAAGCGAGCGAGCTAGCGAATAAACGAGCGCATCAGGAGAGTTGATAACGTTTTACGTGATTTGCGACATGACTCTTGATATCTTTTGCTACGTTGTTTGGGGGCATATAAGCAATGGGTCTTCGTTTTTCTCTTCTATGAAATCGCCAATTCGTCCTACAATTGACACAAGCTTGCACTTCTTCATATTTTCTCAGCTGTTCCCACCGAATCTCAAACAGATAATGTTCCTTGGCTTGATACATACTCGGCAGAAAGGCCAAAAAATGAAATCGTCATCGCAAACAATGTTTGTTGCAAATACTGAACCGTCACCGCAACATGATACAATTAAAAAAAAGCACATGTTTGTATTTTGCTTGCGACGTCCAATAAAAAAATAGAACCGATAGAAGACACACACATAGCACATAGCCATAAATGAATCAATCGAGTCAGCAGAAATTTTGTAACGAAAAGCGTTAGAATTGCAGCAGCATTTAGATTGAGAGAGTGAGAACGGTCTTTCTTTTTGATGCGAAAAAGGCGTGTCGCAATTCATGATGATTGACCCAAAAAATTTCCAACGGTTCAACGGACGTAAAACCAATTTATTGCCAGCAATGTCAAAGACATTGACGCTTGATTTTGTACTTGAACCGATACATACGTCGTATACATACACTCTATATATTTCCTTATCGAATGCTCAATTCAGTTGGATGTTTTTCTTCCTTCCAATTCTTGCCTGAGCATCGCCACGTCCGAAACGAATTAATCGCAATTATCGTTGCGGTTGCTTTGAACACTTTGAATTTCCACGTACGACACATCGGATAAATGAGAAACATTTATTATAAAAATGATTGAGTTGTACTTATGTGCAGTGCTGTGTGGTTTGGGGCCAGGCTTTGTTATGCGCTAAATCCATCGCGCTGAATAAATTCATGCGATAGATTTATGCGATAAATGTGATGCGCTCGCTTTGCGGCGAACGAGTTCTGTTGCTCTTCACTACCGCTTAGCGATGCGTTCACTGCAAAGCATGAACGTTCATGCGTGAACAAGTGAAGAGCAACAGACTTCGTTCATCGCAAAGCGATCGCATCACATTTATCGCATAAATCTATCGCATGAATTTATTCAGCGTGATGGATTTAGCGCATAACAAAGCCTGTTTGGGGCTTTTATTTAAGTGCCAGACGATGTGTCCCTGTCCATTTCGATCGAAATAGAGACACACTTGACGGGCTCACTTCAATGCCTGCCTTCACTAATTGCATGCATAAACAGTTTTCTCCGTTTTGGCGTTAGTGCACTACGAAAATAACGAAAATTTTGACTAAATCGGACATTAATTCTTATGCAGATTTTGCGCTTATGCACTTACCCATTGACACTCTTTTGATATTGTCAATTTGAAAAACTCCCTCTCTCTCTCTCTCTCGATCATAAAGTCACAATTCATTAGAATACGAATGGAGCGTTTGTTTGATAATTTATTAAGTTTCCATCGTGTGATCTCACTGGCTCGCTCGCTCGCTGTTTACTGAATCTAATTTAATCATTTGACATGACACATTCATAACGTCTGTCAACGGCGAAGAGTGAGAATGCCATTCCGTAAAAGTCATCCATTGCGAAAACAATAAGAATCAATTCATCGCTTCTACATTCATCGTTGGCCCGAACCATTCTCTCAGCGGTTATTGTTGTTGTTTATTTTTTCCTACGCTCATTCATGATCATCATTTTTACGATTGTGTGATTCGTACGTTCCAGCATCGCATGAAATATTCAATGCTACCGAAATATATGGGCAAATATGAATATTGTTATGTTGCGGAAAAATTATGACACACACACATAAATACGCCAAATGTACATGATGAAATGTAAAACGAAGCTAAAGACGTTTTTCAGGCCAAACAAGATACGATTTACACACCCCTATTTATGGTTGATGCGTGAATTCTGACTTTCTTTTGTTGCGAATGTACGTTCGCATTTAGGCATTATGTAAAATATAATTCGTTTCGCCTTTCAAAATAACACGACAATCGAATTAGAGCGCATTTTGTTAAATGTAATTGATTCTAAACGACTTCAATCAAAATTACCCTCTGAATAATTAATGAAGTAGCGAATAGACGGTCTCCGACTTTTGGCTTATAGTAGCCGCTATTCGGTGGTGGTTCGCCTGTCGGCAAACGATGATGATGATAACGACGACGTACGACGTCGACGCCAACACCATACATAACAGTAACAAAATAACTGCTGCTGCCGTCAACCAACCAACCGACAACATCATCACCATAAATTGCATTGTTGTTCCAAAAGGACACAAAGAAGAAGAAGAAGAAGAAGAAGAAGAAGAAGGAGGAGGAGGAGGAGGAGGAGGAGGAGGAATAAACAACCCACGAAGAGAGCACATTAGAGCATCGAATATTGAGGCTCACAACCAGAATGCCTATAAAAAAATTTGTTTGGAAAATATTTAACTCAGCCTTATTGTATGATAAATGGCTGTGGATATTCATTGCTTCGAACACGCATTTCATGGTTCACTTTATTTGCCGCAAATCGCACATTTTAATCGTTTTCAATTTCTCTTTCTCTCTCTTTCTTGTGACTTCTTCGTCTTCTTTTTCTTTTCATTCGTAACAAACGTGGATGCATTCAACGTTTTTTGTTATGCATTAAGTGACAAATCACCCTTCTCTTCATCATAATTCTGCCTTGTGTCACTCAAAATATCAATTATGAGTGATCTGTGTTTCATTTTGTGTGTGTATGTGTGTGTGTGTTAAAAATTGCTTTTGAAATATTTTCGCCATTAGAGAAGCGAATAAAAGATTTTAAACGACATATCCTTACACGCGTTTTTTTTAGTAGCTTTCAAAAGTGTAAGAGAGCCGTTTGTGATCTCATACAAACCTTTGGAAGGAATCTGTCACATCCGAATAGATTTTTCAGATTATAGCATTACCACTCGGCTTTGGCGTCCCTTCATCGCATTCATTCACTGTATTGTTGTACAACGATTTCATTGTTGCTCATTTAAAGGGGGAGAGATAAATCAGTGCAGTCTGTTATTGTTCCATAAAGTCAGTTAAGGGTTTAAAATCACGTTACAATAATTGAATTGAAATGCACATCCTTTTTGATTCCACATAATTATTTTACATGTTTTATTCATCAATCGTCTCTATAAATATGCAACTTGATATTATTTATATATATATATATACATATACAATTCGTGTAAATGTTTCTTATACTGAAAAAGTTCCATCATTTCAATAATATTCTCTCTTTCGATTTATAAAAACAATATCTTTTCTTTCTCTCTTCTCGATAACAATTATTATTGCAGATAATTTTCTAATAAATGTTTTATTTAAATAATTTACTTTTTGCATCTATTTTTCTCGGTATTCGTTTCTGTCTGTGCATGTGTGTATATTCCGTACAAGGATCTAGCTGCGATACATCGCCTCTTCTCATTGTAATATCTTTTATTTTTTCATCTCGTTTCGATTGTCGGAAATTCACTGTACAGTGTACACTATTGCTAATTCCAGTTATTTGTTGTTGTTGTTGTTTGATTGTTTGTCGGATGGGGGGGAAGGGAAAGTAGATTATTAACAACATGACAAATTGACCGCAGTCACTTTGTTAAATGGTAGAGATTTGTAGGAATAACTTAGCTTCCGAAGGGACTCTCTTTTCTCTCCAATTGAGAAGTCATGTTTTTATTTATTCTTGGGATTAAATACGATCGGTTTATTGTTATTTTCATGCAAACTGCAAGACACATGACATTTTCTCTGATAAAAATTTACCGGAATGGAATATAATATATGCTCATAGAGGTCTAATCGATAACAACTAATACAAATATAAGCTTCATAATAACATTGCAAATACAATAAAATAATTGAATTCATTTTCAATAGTGTAAACCAATAATTTGCTGTTTGTTTGTTTTTTTTTTCTTGTTCATTTTCCACAATTCTTTTGTTGTTCTTGTTCTTGTTGTTATATTTATATATCACTTTTGACTCTTTTTTTTTTCATTTTTAATTTTATATAATATTTTCTGTTCACTTCCTATAAATAACATTTCGTGTGGATAATATATTATATATTTTGTTTGTTGTTTTTTCAAAAAATAATAATGAAAACCCCGACAACGGATGAAACCGTGTGCACGCACTGTGTGTGAGGGCGAAATTGATGTTGTCTCATTTTTTTTTATTTTTCTGTTATTAATTTCTGTCTGAGCCAATCATATCTACTATTAAAATAGATTTCTCTCTCTCTCTCTCGCTGAATTTTTTATAAAAGACGAAAATGCACGACCTTGAAGGCTATATATATAAAAATTGGTAGATATTGTAAAGTTGTCTACATCAAGAGTGGGAAGGAGGAGGGTGAAAGAATCTTCGAAATGGGACGCTTTCAATGGCAGCGACAGCCACTCGACAAATGCTGAATTTGATTTATTTATTTTGATTCATTTTTTTTTACTTTTTGCTCATCGTGTCTGTGTGTGTGTGTCCAAACAAAATTTCTATCTACTTTCTGAGTGGATCTAGACTTTCGAGTGTAAAATCATCTATGAGCCCCAATTTGTTGCTGGTAGTCTAGTTATGAATAGAAAATATACAGATATACAATAATATAATGTGTGTATGTGGAAATGTATTTTATTGTTGGTGGCCAAAAACTCAAATATATGCCCATTTGCCTATGAATTGCAAACACTATATATATACATATATATAGTTTATAAGAAGTGACAGAAGAAAGATCGATAGACATCTTAGCTACATGCAGCCAGTCAAATCTATTTATAAGTATAAATTTAATTCAACTACATTTATGGCTTGGTTCTTTTGTTTATTTGATTTTATTCCATTACAATTACTTAAAGGGGATTTAGTGGTCATTGGGTCATGCTACATTATTATGTGAAAAGGTGATAAGTAAGAAGAGGATCGTGCTCGGTGAAAGTTAACAAGGAAATAAATGGTAGGTGCAACCATAACCAATTATTACCAATGCTACATATACATTCTTCGACCATCACCGTACTAAAATCTACTTTTCATTAAACAGCAGAGGAAAAATAATACGAATTAGAATTAGAATTACGAAACTAACATTTAAACAGAAAAGAGAGTGTGTTACGAAAAATGTATTGCATTTTAAATTGCATTAAACGCGTATGGTTTGGTCTATGTTGTTCGCCGCATGCGATGCATTTTTGATTGTGTCTGGTTATCGCATCGCGATCACATTATGTGCGAACAGCATCGAAACCGGAGATTTTATTGAAAAATTCATTGTTTTTTTGGCGTGGCGCTTTGAATTCGCTGAATAACTCATTGGCAACATCTTTGAATAAATCGACCGGAATTTCCTTCTTCATGACATCCATTTTTGCGTCCGATTGCTCTTGATTTATATTTGCCGATGCAAAGATACCTGACATATTCCCACTACTGTTGAATTCCATCTGCAATTTATTCAAATCCAATGCATTCAGTTCATTCCACGTAGTCTTTTCGTTGGCCGAAAATGGATTCTTTTTGGCACCAAACTCTTGATTCAACTCGCCGCTACCATTTGTCATATCACTCTTGTTCGATGCGGCCACTGCACGGCCATAGCTACTGAATATTGCATTGAGATTTTCATTGTTTGTCGACAAAAATTCAAACTCTTTCTTCGGCGAAACGGTAAACGATGTTGATTTCATTGGACTTGGCTCACTAAATACTGATACCGAATCATTGAATGGATTTGAACGAGTCGATGATTTGCTCGATTGGTGTAATACATTCTCAAAACTCGAATCGTCATGCAATGTAAATGCATTTGCCGTCGAATTGAATACACTACCTAATGTTGTCGGCAACGAATTGTCTGACACCGCCTCCTCATTTCGAACCTAAATACGATGATGTGAAGTGGTGCATTTTGTGCAAAATTTCAATTGTTTTTTCTCAATTCATAAATATAAAATTGTGTATGTGTGTGTGTGTTTATTTAATTTTTGGTTGGTGTAAAATCATTCCGGTTAGTATTGAAGTGATGAAATTGTGTTAGTTAACTAAAGCCAGTATAAATAAATATGAAAACAAAGAAGTATTTCCAATTCAAATCAAAATTGCTCTACTGAATCTCATGCAATGCATTTAATGATGAGAAATGTGCTATATGTTATACTTACATCAAAGGGGCTCGAATGTGCATCGAATGGCGTTGAACCGAATAGATCTTGGTTGCTTGTCACATTTCCATTGCGCCGTGGAATTGATGCCTTTGGCGGTGGAGCCACTACAATAACAAAACAATATCAATTTCCGTCTTTTTTCCTTCAATTTTTCCTACAGAAAACTATGATTCAAGAAGAAGAAGAAAAATTACTAACACAATGGTGTTGTTTTGGCGGCTCCATTGTTGAGATTGCCATTTATTGAGCCACCGTTCATCATTGAATTGGAATTCATTGTGAACAATTGTTGGCCCATCGTTGTTTTTGGTGGTTCAAATCCAAAAAATGATTCCGATGAGTTCTTCTCCGGTGAGAACATATCATTTTCATCGGCACGTGGATCAAAATCACTATCCGAATCGGAATTCAATAAAAGACCCTCGAGTTTCGTACCAACTGATGGCTTCAATGCGTCCAGCGTCGAACTAATTTGACTCTGCAGATTTCTCGGCGGAACAATTGGTGCAAAGTGCTTGTCAGATGTCTCTATCAACAGCTGATCATCATTATTTGGCGATGACACATCAATTCCTGGTTTGAGTAAGACATAAAAGTTAAATCTCTCTCTCTCTCTCTCTCTCTGCTTAATGGCAAAATCGATTACAACCAACCTAAATCTGGAGTGTTGCTTCCGTTGATGTTTGCAACATGGTTGCCGATTCCGTTCTCTTGTTGCGGCAAATCCAATATATCACGAACGCCGTAGCGCATCAACAAGCGATCGAGTTCACCCTTCGATACGACATCAGCCAAATCTTTTAATCGTTGACAATATGCTTCGACCTTTTGCTCCAAGTATTTATTCTGCGATTGTAATTTTGCCACCTCTGTCGTTTTTCCACTTTCGTTAACATAGCGCCTACAATATTTGAATCTTGCTAAAACTTATTTGGCGCAAAAATATGCAGAAAACACATTTACCTGTAGGCCAATTCAAAGGCTTGACCAATGGTTAATGTAATATCCGAAGCCAATTTGCTTGAGATAAATACAAAACACTCGTGCGTTTCCTCCGCGGGACGATCAGATGAATCATTTCCATTGGTTGGTGCACTATTTTTAGCTATGAAACTAGTTTGGAAATTGAAACAAGAGCCGTTATTTGATTTTTGATTTAATTTTCGATCGTTCTCTGTTGTTGCTGTAACTTACCTAAAGAATTTCTTGACACCCTTTTCATCAGCACAATATGAAATGTTATGCAATGGGAACTGATGCAATATATTCGTTCCTCGCGGCTCCTGAATAAAAATACAAAGTGTTAATTTTATGCCTATTTTTTATCACGAGCTCTTTACGACCATATTTTATTTGCGACAAACGCTTCAGTAGTCGTATTGTTTCTATTTACATTCGTCTAATTGTTCGTCGCAGTGACAAAGTCAAACACTCACTTGAATGGCTACTCCATCAACGCTAATGGTTATCTCGACCTTTTTCGTTTTAATATTCGAACCGGATTCCGCTTTTTTCATTTGCTGTGAAAATTGCAATCGACGAATTGCATCCTTGACGGTTTCAATGCCTTTCGCTTGATCAACAGGAGTGCAGCCCAAAAACTATAAAACAAAACAAATCAAATCGATTCGATTTTTTTTTCATGATTTTCTTCATTTTAAATCAAAACAAAATTATCATATTACTATCGCATGTGAAGCGATAAAATGCATACGCTTTGCGATATTCACTTCGCTTCATTTGAATCAACTGATAAATGCACGAAATGGGAAAAATCTCGAAATAAAAAGTGGTTTCCATGTTCTCGTCTCCATTTATGCCAATGGCAGCATTATCAAGAACATTCCCAAATTATTTATTCCATTATTTTTGTAACGGCAAAATCCGTTTCCGCAATAAACCGCATGAGAAATTTCACCAAATGACAAGTGAAATTCCCGACAAAACAGGGGCTGATATAAGTCAGTGGATATACGAAAAATGGATACAACTAGTTTGAACCAAATATAAAAAAATTGCATCTTTGGAGTAAATGGACACAATCAATAAATTGTCGCAGAATGCATCATGGAATGAGTTATTTCCATTTGAACTTGTTCACGGCAGCTCATTACCAAGTGTCAATAGTGCGATGGTTTATTTATATGACGTACATCTGACAATACTTATTATCTGTCAATTTTGAGTGTGTTGTTTCTCCGGTTGTTTCAAGTTTTTTGCTTTGTAAAAAAAAACATACAAATTCAATAAATGTATCCAATGTCGGTCCATAACAAAAAAAATCCCGTTTAAATTTTTCCAAAACTCAATCAAACAAATTCTAGCATGAGACGATAGCTCTGATCCGCCCCTTAAAATTCAATAAAGAGTCAACTGAGACAATGATAGTTAGTTCTGTCATTTGCCATTATCTTTGCGAAACAGTACGGAAAGTGTGGTTTCCGATCGTTGCTCGTAGTGAATGTTGATTCATTTGCTATATCTTATCACATACGTATATATGGTGTGTGTGTGCAGCGCAATTACACCATACGAATAAAAATCAACTTGGCTTTGTAATCAAAATAACAAAAATATTTTTTCGGTTTTTCTTTTTGTTTATGTTTTATTGAATACGATCGACGTTCATTAGAATATACGTTGTTCGTTATCAGTTTTGTTTTCTTAATGTGGCTTGTGACGAATTCTGTGCACAGGAAAACCAAAAGACACACAACTTTTTTTCACGTCTTCTCGTGCGTTTCGTCTCTCTTTTCCTCATTCTCTCTCTTCAGTTTCAATTGCTGATAAAATACATTGAATCTGTGTATAAAAGGCCTTGGTTGTATACGAAACGATGATAGAAATTACGACAAAGTGGTCACGAAACATTGTTCGATTATTTGCATTTTTTTAGACGATCGCAATCGTCTCTCTCATTTTACGATTTACGGCGAGAGGAAAAATATTCGATTTGAAATCTGTGTAAAATATTTCATAAGTATACGGCAACAGCAGCAGAAGTAACGTCGACGATTGCAAAGTGACGGAGAGTGGATAAATCTAAAATAACGTTAAGAAATTTCGCAGTGAAAAAGAAAGTGTGAAATTAAATTTGTCAAAAACAAAGCCAAAAACGTAAACGAATAAAAACCATAAGTAAAATGGCGTGTCACAAAGCAGACAAATCGTGTGAAGTTAACGTTCCGGTGCCAGAATGCTTTTCGACACCAATGTTTGTCAAAGAGAAACGATTGCTCGGCGCTGGACCATCAAATCCACCGTCTGATGTGCTAAAAGCATTGTCATTACCCATGATGGGTCATTTGCATCCAGAAACATTGAAGGTTGGTAAACATTTGGTATTATGGCGAATTTCGAATTGAATGCAATAAATGGGAAAAAATTTCATTTGATTTGAATTAAATCCACACACAGATTATGGATGACATTAAAGAGGGGCTGAAGTATGTATTCCAGACAAAAAATCCCTTGACACTTTGCATCAGGTAAATTCATTGAGTTTGTATTTTCTTTGTGAGCTTGTTAATTGAAATTCGTAATTCGGCGATTGCCTTTAGTGCAAGTGGTCATGGTGGCATGGAAGCAGCTCTATGCAATTTAATTGAAGAAGGTGACGTTGTGTTGTGCGGTGTGACTGGTCTATGGGGACGACGGGCTGGTGATATGGCATCCAGATATGGTGGTGATGTGAGATACGTCGAAACGGGCAACGATGAAATTCTTACAATGGACACGCTCAATGCATATTTCGAAGTTCATAAACCGAAGATATTCTTTGTCACACAAGGCGACTCATCCACGGGTACACTGCAACCGATTGAAGGACTCGGTGATTTATGCCAAAAGTATGAAATTGCATGTCATTTGGTTATTATCAAAAAACAATCACACGTTTTGTTTCTGTTGTTGTTTGTTTTAGATACGACTGTTTGTTGGTCGTCGATACCGTTGCATCGTTGGGCGGAACACCGTTTTTCATGGACAAATGGAAGGTTGATGTCGTTTATACGGGTTCACAAAAAGTGCTTGGTGCACCGCCCGGCCTAGCTCCGATCTCATTCAATTCACGTGCAATCGCCAAAGTTATGAATCGTCACAAAAAAGTGGCCGTTTATTACTGGGACATAATGCTACTGTCGGAATATTGGAATTGCTTCGGAAAACCAAGAATGTACATAAATTGTCATACTCATATTTGCATTTTACTAAGAGTTTTGCTAATTATTCGTTCGTTTTGTTTTTAACCAACACCAGCTATCATCACACCATCTCGGCCACACTATTGTATGGTTTGCGTGAGGCTTTGGCGATTGTGTGCAAAGAGGGACTACAACAAACGATTGCTCGCCATAAAAATGCATCAGACGATTTGAAACTTGGCATAAGCGAATTGGGATTGGAATTGTATGTAAAAAATCCAACATACCGTTTGCCAACAATCACATCGATAAAATTACCGAAAGAAGTCGATTGGAAGCGTATTGTCGAAATCGGTGCAAATGAGTACGTATAAATCGTTGTCGTTAATTAAGTGGCTTTGACTTTGCCGTTTAATTTATTGACACGAAACCAAATTTTGCCAATTCGAATTTGTTTTTTTTTTTTCTTTAGTGCGGTTGAGATTGCCGGAGGTTTGGGACCGACAGCCGGCCAAATCATTCGTATTGGTCTGATGGGAGAAAATGCAAGGTCGGAATATGTTGCAACCGCATTAAACGTTCTGAGAGAGGCCTTGAGAAATATCCGCGCACTTTCAAATCTTTAAAGAAGCAATTAATTATAACAAATTGATTTGCCAAACCCGAAAATAAGCAACGGCAACCACAACAACAACAACAACAAATAAGAAAGACAAACACACTCCATATAGACACGTTATTGTATTGACATTTTGGCTAACATGAGCTATGTTAATAATTGGAAATAAATATATTTTTTTATTCTCGTAGAAGACGCTAATGTAATGTAAACTTACTTTGACTAGATAGGCAACGTGTCCGTTCATCAATGACTCGGGCGTATGTAGCCACGTCTTTTTTCCATTCTTTCCAGTTGAGCCATTCTCACTGCCATTTTGGTTTGCGTTACCGTTTTGCTTATTCCAAAACATTAGCGTTGACATCGCTTGCGATGGTTTGGTTTTTTTCGTTTCAGTCGCCAGTTTGATGTTTAAAATGTATATGCAATCTCCAGGGAAATGTTAAAATGAACGTCCTATTGGGAAAGAAAGAAAGAAAAAAAATGACACAAAAAAATCAAAAAAGATACAATTAACTACCATGAAATGACGGAATTAAAATTGGTGCACAGAGGAACGAACTCGTTCAAACAATAGCGCACTTATGGAATTATGACCTGATGGTTTTGTTAAAACAAATATGGTAAGCAGACAGATTTCACTTCTGTGTGTTTTGTTTTGCGCGCAATTTATGAACGATCTGGGTGAAAAATTTTCACCGGCCAAAAATAGGCTGAGACAGAAGCAAATGCAGCCAATTTTAATTCATCCGTTTCACGAGAGATGATCAGAAAACTTGACAATTCAGCTTTGGGCGTAATTGAAGCACACATATTGATCAGAAATCAAATTCGTTTTTCTCTCTCTCTCTCTCTCTCTCTCTCTCTCTCTCTCTCTCTCTCTTTAAATTCCTAAGCATTTCATTTGCATTGTTTCTTCTGGTGTGAGAAGAGAAGCAAAAAAACAATTGAACCAATCTGAAAATCACATCCATTGAATTCTCATCTTTACATCTTCAACATCAGCAGCGGCGCCGAAAAGGGAGAGACATGATTAATTAACTGTCACTTAATCAACCGCATCGGTGGTCAGAGCGACGTGAAAATATTACGGCATTCATGAAATATTTGTTAGAAAATTGTGCAAAGTTTTCAAGTGCTTTGTCTATTAATTTCCTATTGAATATAATCGCCTCATTTGCTTGATATCTGTCGCTCTTTCTCCGTCTCCATCGCTTAACTCTCGCTCGTGAATCGCGACGTCGTCGCGATCGTCGTCGTCAATCGTACGGCGAAGTTCAAGCGGATTTTTCCTTTTCTGCACAAAGCACGAAATAAAACTCTAACCTTTATTATTATAACATGTCGTTGTGAGATTTGCGCGCGCGATCGCATTCATTTGTCGAGAGTAGATTTGATTATTGCTTACTGCGCACCACTGAGAAATCAGACATAAAGCCACAGACGATGCAAAGGAAATGAATGGAATGAAGAAGAAGAAGAAGAAGAAAAGAGTACACATAAAATTAGGTATGAACGTTCGACGGATGAAAATGGGCTTTCTGTTGCGCAGTTTGTATCATTTGATTATTCGAAGCGATGTGTGTGTATGTGTGTGTGTCTATTCATATTAGATTGCATGTGCGCGGCGTGCGCCTATAAGTTATGCACAGTGCGACTCAATGGAATTTATAATTAATTCCGCATTAAATTTAAACTTTCATTTTCTCAATATGTGTATCTGGTGATGTGGTTGGTGTGCACATTTATACGTTTACATATAGATATGTATTTATTTATTTTTTCCTTCATTTTCGTATCTATAATTAGGAGCACAATTAAAATAAAAGAAAAACGTGATTCGAAATCGCGTTCGCAACAACCAATTGGTAAACAATTTCACTTTGCTACAGCTGACAGTAGCGGCTGGTGTGTGTAGTGCGTGCGCGTCACACAAATAAAGCAAAGACACGAAATGTGCGCAACAACAACAATAACAACACCAGCAACATAGAGAAAAAAAGACACAATAATATGAATATGAATAAATAAATCAAGGAAAAGATATTTGTTTGGCCGATGTGGACAACATTTTTCGCTTGCGAGATAGAGCGTGTGAGCAACATTGAAACGATACAGCAACTTGAATGAATCATTTGGTGCGAATTTCACGGCTGTACAATGTACACTTTTGTGTACGCAAACAAACCGTTACTAAATGACGTCGTCGTCGTCGTCGTTGTCGGCCGAACAGTAAAACATTTGAATGAATCAAATAAAAACAAAGAAAAATATGTTATGATGAAGAAACGGCGCGCGAGAGAAGAGAAAAACATCAACCGCACTCTGAAATACAATTGAATATTACCTCAAATATGACGATTACAATTACTTTGCTTTCATGTTCAGTTTTATTTTTTCACTTCTCCCTTATATTCACACTTTCATTTGTGAGCCGCGCATTTTGCATGTTCTTTTTTTTTCTTACTCTGCTGTCTTTCTTGCATCTATCGTCGATCATATCGTTTCATTTGAATAGTAAGTATGATTTGCGTCGTAATTTCGATTCCGTCGAATGCATCTCTCGGTAAACATAGCCAGAGCGGTTAAACGATCTTATGTCCACACACAGTTTTCATTTCAGTATTCATGGAATAAACATACATGAATGCGGCTCCATGTTTATATGCATCGGTAACAAAATATTGCAATGAATGACGGCTGATTGTTTTATCTCATGCCACGGAAGTTCTATCTGCGCAAACCTTTTTTTTGCGCTCGTGAGGCAATATCTTCACTGTGTGTGTCTATTTTTTGTGTTGTTGTTGCTGTGCCATGGCGAAAAAAATATATACGAAAACGTTTAAGTCTTTTTTTTCGGTTTTCCGTTCAATTTGCCATGATTCAATTGGATTTGCTCTTGAATCATGCACAAAATATTTGTTCGATTCGACGAATAGCCGGAGCAAGTAAAAAACTTTCTAACCGCTAGTTCAAATAGCCATAATGTATGTCAATGAAGACATCGGAATATGAACGTGAGCTTGAATGCCTCCACATACATTCAGTTAGTGTGTACATGTGCGCGCGCAACCAATACTTTGTGTCAAGAAAAACACTCGCTGCTCGCCCCGTGTGAGAACAGAATATGAAGCGATTCAATGAATGAAGGAGAAAAGAAGCAACGGCAACAACAACAACAACAACAACAACAACGACATGAAACATCAAACGCATTTATGAACGAAGAGATTATATGGAGAAAAAAAACGACAGAAATAAAACCGAAGTAAGTATATCTCTACCGAATGCACAAAACAAATAAGTGTCATAATCGCCGTTGGAACTGTGTGGCGGATGAAGAGAAAAGAATATTGTGAGTCAATAAACTTGTTCTAACCTACATTTTTCCTCTTTTCCCATTGTATTTCGGAACGAATCGATGGCGAGCGATTTCTGTGCATTCAATTCTTTCTATATGGATATATAATCTTTTTTTTCTCTCTCTCTCTCTCTCCATTACTTCATTTTGTATTCATTTCGCGTTACATTTTCCATGTCTGCCAAAGCTGTATTTCACCGGAGCGAGTGATCGAGCGAACGCAAAACTAAGTGTTATAGTTTTGCAATTTGCTCCATTCACAAGCAATTACAGACTCAATTTTTCCACACTTTTCAACACTCGTTGCGCTGTTTGTTGCAATGACATTTTCTGGGAACGAAAATGAATTTTTCGAAAGACAAAAACAGACGAGAGAAAAGAAACGACGACAGCAACAACAACAATATCCAACAGTGGATTGTTGTTTGTTTGCTGTTTTCGCACATACACACGTGCAACAAAGAGAGACGAAGCAAAAAAAAAAACAACATCAACTGAAAAAAGAATTGTGAATAGCCAAAAGTTAATTAAGCAATGGCTTTATTCTTTCGATTGTCGTTTCAAGTGGTTCGAAAATGAATTTAATAGGTGTATGTGTGTGACATTTACGTTCTTAGTCGACGTTTTGATTCTCAGAATTCTTATAGTCAGCAGCAGCAGCAGCAGAAGAAGAAGTGAAAGAACATTGACGAAATTGATCACCAAATGATTACGTGATAGTTAAAGATGCTAATTTATCGATAGTATGCGAAATCGTGTTCAAATGAGATCAATTCGATTTTTCACAGCGATCAAATATCGAGCTTTAGCAATGATAGCACACGGATGTCAAAGTCATACGAAGCAAATAATTTTTCGTTCATTGTTGGTGTTGTTCTTGCTGCTGTTGCTGTTGTTGTTGCCGTTTCAATTGTTCGATGATAGAGAGAACGAAACGAAGCTACGTGAAACAAGTAATAGTAGCTGTTGATAGAATAGAGGAAAAAAACTGGTTTTTATTTCGAAGAGAAGAAAAAAAAATATACATCGTTTGATCATTGTGCACCATTGAAAGAATCAGCGACTGTGTCAAAATCACGCATTCATAAGTTTGTTTGTATTTATTATTATTTTATTTTTTTTTGAGACTGTATTTGAAACAAAACAAAACAACGCCGCATAGCACAAAAACTAAACTAAACTAAACATAAAAACAACATTGAAAAAATATCACGAATGTATCGTTAAAGAAACAGCAACACCAACACAAAATAACAATTGGCTGTTGATACATCAACAGGCGAATAGAAACACCAGCACACCACACCACACCACCAATAGAAAAAAACGGCAATAGCAAAAACAAAATTTGTAAAATCACGCCGCTTATTACATATACATTGTAATATCTGTACATCGCACATACAGTGAGAAATGAATATTGTGTGTGCTGCTCTACCGCACCACAGATTATCGTCACATTCAAAACGATGGAGATTTAAGCTCTATAAAGTGGGTGGTGCGCGCATTCGTACCCGTACCCGTACCAATAACATGTAGGAACACTGGAATTCGCAATTTTCAGTTACGGACTTTATTTTTTGCTGCTGCTGCTGTTGCTGCTGCCGCTGCTTTAGCTATCCGTTTAAATCCATTATTATTTTCGCTTCTTCCCTTCGAAATTGTTCAATCTTTAACTTGATGTGTATGTTGTTTCTTTTTTCTCTCTGCAACAACGAACGACGAGAGAAAACGACAAATAAAAAAGAAAAAGATATATATATATATATATATATATGGCCCTACCGTGTGCTCATGATGATAATAAATAATAGCCTTGGTTTCAATATCAAAATGTTTCTACAGCAAAGTTTATGCTTTGATTGAAATTACACCAAAATATTTGGATTTAACGATCGAAAAAGTATATGAATAGTTCGTTTTCGCGTTCGTTTTACCATATAAACATGCTCGACAACAGACAATGGATTATAATGATATGAAATTGGAATTTATGTTCGCAATGCGCTCTCGATTCATAATTTTTAGAGTAATTTCACCTGTGCGGTTGATTGTGTGCCTTCAACATGTTATTGTTATTGTTACTAATTTTAGTTGTTATTTTTTTTTTCATAAAACCTAGTTCCCATAAGCATCGTGAAATTCTTCCTCTCAACGAAGCCACAAGGCAAAAGAGCCGTTCTACTTCTCGATTATTATTTTTTTACGTTTCTCTCCAGTGTTTTTTTTTCTTCTTTTTATTTCTAGTATATTTTAATCCACATGCGAAAGAAACCCTGGGCGAACACAATGCTCAGCCTGAGAGGTTCACATTGTGTGTATGGCTGATGATGGTGAGTCAGTGAGCACACATAAGAATAAAAAAAGAAACCGAGAAGCAGAAGGAAAAACACAGTTGATCAAATTAATTGACGCACAAGCATTTGCATTATTATCGGTGATCTTCATCGGACGATGATAAAAACGAGCTGATGAAATATTCCGTGCGCTTATTTTTGGAATGGGCTTATGCTATTGCACTCACCGTTTGTGTAGACCATCGATACACAAGAACCACACAGTGTTTACGTATTTAAAAAGATAAACAGACACATACACTCAGCGTATGCACCGCGAACATATTTCATATCCATTTTCTTTTTTGTTGTTTTATTTTTGCTCTCTCTCGCATTTCTTTCGTTTTCATTATTATCCATTTTCCACGAAGTACGGAGAAAAATTAGCGAAGAGGAAAAAAAAAGTAACAAAGCGCAGAAACAACCGAGTTGAAAATGTAATTTACGTAACTCTCAGTTAAATTCTCTACGAGATGTAATAAATGAAGAGAGAAAAAAAAATGCGCTGGCTATTCATTAGACAAATGATCGAATGAGTAGAGCGTTTTGTCTGCAATTTGGATTTGTGGAACTTCGCTTATCGAAAGCCATTCGAAATGAGCGATGTTATTGCTGCTATTGCTGTTGCTCTTCTTCTTGTTTTTGTTGTTGGTGGAATTTCTTTTACTCAATTTTGTTACGTTCAAATATGGTCGAAAGCCGATATTCTCTATGCATGAATAGTTTGTCAAAGTGTTTCGGCTCAATATGGTCGTAGTATCTCATACACACCAAACGGCGTAAGACGATTTTGCACACTGTCCGAGATCACGTCAGGTGTTACGATATAGCATTTACTTCAAGTCATGCTCTCTATTCATGAGAGAACAGAAATGTGAGATGGCCGCGAATGAAAGTCTCACTTTGTAACATCTCTTTTATTGTTGTTGCAATGAGTGCTCGCTGTTGTTGTTGCTGTTGTTTCATTTGACAAAAGTCAAAGATTATTCCCTCACACCTAACAGTACCCCGTTCAGTTCGCTTCAGTTTTAGTTCAGAAAAGACTTTTTCTTTTGTGTATTCTTTTTTTTTCTTCTTCTCTGTTGTTCATTTCGCACAATCGCTTGGCCGTTCGTGCTTTATTAACACTACAACTAATTTGACGTGATATTTTTTTTCGTCAATCAAACTATACAGCAAACAGCACAGTACAGTAATGAGAGAGTAAAGACAGCGGGCGCATTGTACAGACCTAACGGAGATACGCAAAAACACGCATTGCTCCGTGCATGATTGTAATTTTCAGATTTACCTCATTCTATATTTCGTTTCATGATTTAGTGTTACGTCGTGAATGCAGCAATTTTCAATTACGAAAATAAAAAGAGAAAAATAGCAGCAACAACAAAATTGAGTAGAAAAAAAATCTATGTGTACTTATTGTGCCAATGTGTGACCAAATATCATAGTAATAATTTATTTATTGTTGTTGCTGCTGCTGCTGCTTGCTGTTGGCACTTTCAGTTTGAAGCACCCATTCTCGAAAAATTAAAAGAAATAAAAAAAAGAGACGAGAAAAAAACACCCATTTGAATAACCGAATAAATATGTCGAACTTTAAACCCATCATGTCATAATTCAAGCCGCTAAAATTGTGCGGCGTAATTGCGAGGTGTACGAAAAAAAAATTGAAGATGACTTACTCGTTCACACCAGAAGGAAAAAATAAACAATAAATAAATTTAACCGCACAGGAGGCAAAGTCTATATTTCTCGTTGGAAAGCAAACTGTATTTCAGTCACACACCAAAAAAAATTATATCTATATACATAAGCCGCAATTTCGTGGCCACACTTGAAATTGTCTTTAAAGAGCACTCAATGGTAACGGTTGAACGTTGTTGTTTTTTTTTCTTCTTCTTTGCTGTCTTTCTTTCGTATGGATAATAAACACAGATCGAAACACTTTACAATTTACTTGGAATGAATATGATGTAGAAGTGGAACTTTTCTGTAGCCACTTCGTTCGATTCGCGATTTTATTCTAACAGCGCAATCGAATTCTGATTGAATAGTCTGGATTTTTCTCTTTTCTTTTCAAATTCGTTGTAACAATTTTACTAGACTCTAAATTTTTCGTTTTCTCTTAACAAACAAAATCGGAAACTAGTTGAACACACAAAAAGACAAGATATAAGCGAATATCAAATGAAAACTACGATAGCACCTGTTAAGGAAATCAACAAACAAGAAAAAAAAAAGTGAACGTAACAGTACCGAAAAAAATAAGCAAGAGTAACAACGGATTTAAAAAAAAATCGTTTGCTTCAATTACTAACTTGTTTTATTTCGACTCGAAAGGGAATTCATGAAATTTTCGATTCGCGCTGCTGTTGTTGTTGTTGTTCTTGTTGTTGTTGGCCCGATATGTTGTTATGCCTTAAATCTGATTTTTATTTTTTACTTTTTGCTTATATTTATTTAAGATACGTTCTGTTCTCTGCATCTACATTTAACGAAAAACTAAACAAGACTGCAGATGAAACACAAATAATTTAAACCTGTTGATCGTCGTGTGGAACATTAATTCCATCTTTTTCGCTTGTAACCTCTTTGTTATTGTGTACATGTTCAAAACGAGGCGCGCACACACAGCATTCGATGTGTCTCGCTGTGTCTGTGTGCCAGTGTATGCGTGTATGGGTATCGTGCGAAAGCGATACATTTGTTTCTCGATCGTGCACAAGTGGTAGTAATCAATGTATACATTCGACAATGACGGCGGCGACGACGACGACGACGGTGGCCAGCATTGAAATACAACTGCAATATGCCTAAATGCCAGCATATCTCTTGCCACATTTACATAGGACAATCTTTTTTAAAGTTTTTTTCGGTGTGCAATACAACATCATCCGTAGGCACAAGTCAAAATCGGGTGATGAAGTGTGAGTGAACACAGAGATGAGTGTATAGGTAGATAGGAAGATCGCTTAAAGATGGTTGGCAGGAATAGAGTGAGAAAGAGATAATGTTGAATGCGCATTGTGTGTGTGTGTGTGTGTGTGTGTGTGTGTGGAGGAAACGAGAGATTTGTTTTTGAGACGAGCTTAACATATATATGCATTTGAGTGAACGCTACTTGATTCATATTTGTCTTGGTCGCAGTGAAGATTATATACACATTTTTTGGATATGTACTTGTGCAGCACGATTTGACTCTACTTCCCCACTGCATTTTTTCCACTGCGAAGCCGTTCAACAACAACAACAACACACAGCTACTCTACGATTACTATGGACAATTTGAATAAACTCAATCAAATTGCTTCCATTAATTCATCTGTGCATTAAAATTTGCCAGTATATGGTTCATGTATTTTTATTTGTATCTATTTTCGGTGTGTAAGGCTGAGCTACTGCTGTGCACTTACACATACCACACACAGACAAACCAGCTGAACTGGGAAGAAGAAGAAGCAAACGACCAGCAATAATGCTCGATACCACTACATTCGACGTTCGTGCGATTATTTGTTTTACAAACTTATTTCCGACAATTTGGATTATTCAATCAACTTTTTGTTTGAAAACGAATATTGAAATGAAACACAAATAGAATTCTAAGCAAAGCAAACTATTTTAATGAAATGCATTCATTTTGCCATTCATTCTGTGACAGTTTTTATTGAAATTTCTATTATTTAATATCATTTTGCATGTTTAACTGCCGACTTTTTGGTAGATTTAATTTAAATTTAATTCAATATAGAAGTTTGATATAAATTAAACTGAGAAATCTATCATCAATAATAAATAAATTAAAGTGTAATTAGCTAATATCACTCGAACAAGTCTCTTCACAATCGAATTGAATCCGATGAAAATAAATGGATTGTAGGAGATGTATTTAATGTTGCAGTAGTAGTATAGTTGTAGTAGTTGTAGTAGTGGAGAGTCAAAGAAGAAAAAGATGATGATGATGATGGATTTTTCGTATATCGCGTTAAACTTTCTTCGCTACTCGTTTTAATCACTTCCTCCTCGAATCGCATTTGATGCGTGTATGTAGAATCCATGATCACGAATTTTACGATACAATGATATGTATTTGCCAGCGGCGGTGGTGCGCGAAACGATGTAACGTTCACAAAATGTGGTGCGATTTTGTGCTGCTGCACTCAGTGAACCATAGTTGAGATTTTGCAGGAAATCCAATACGAATGTATAGCAATTAAATGAATCCTCGTGATATGAGCTTGAGGTCCATTTGGTGTCTTTGGCTTTTTCCATTTCCAACAGCACCCAATCCCAATGCTCGTACCATGGTTCCGATACCGTTTCAACGACAATACTTTGTGACCAGTGTGACGTGTCGCTTTGATTGCTTGGCGTCTTGTGCAAACCGCTTTGATCGAATTCAATGATTGTACCGTTCGATGTGGTCAGACCGATGTGCAAGTTCATTGCATTAAAGTAATCGTTGAGAAAGTCACCGACCGTTGGCCGCAATATGATCGAGCATGGATATTGATGCGGTTTTATGAATGGATACGGTAAACGAAACGGCATCATTTTGTATGCATCGTCCGAATTCAATTCCGTTTGACATTCGGGGCATTTGGCCAGCAGTTTGATCGAAAACACTTTGCTTTTGCAGTGCTGAAAGCATATTATGCCGGGATCATTATAAATTGCTTTCATATTTGACAGTATCTATATTTTTCTAACACGGCTACAATCGGGCAAACACTTAACACGGATTCGATCTCACAATCTCGCGCACTCTCAAACCTGCACTCGAAAAAAACGAATCAAAAACAAAAACAGAACCAATCCAATTAATATATGGTCCAATTGCAATAGATGACAATTTGTGGATAGAAAATGGCAAATTGTCAGCGTTAAACTGACCGAGGTACCTTGGAATTTGGATCGATTAGTGCAATGTGTGTTACAAATTAAACTACTTCATTTGAAGTGTTTGGCTTATTCAGTTGCCCGCTTGCGAATGAGTTTTTATTTTTTTTGGGAACAAGTGTTATGTGACCTGTTTTCGGGTGAAACTGCTCTTTATTTTATTTTTTCTTTATTATTCTTTCATCGGCCCGGAGAAAGAGCCGAGAGAGCTGCTCAACTGTTACAAACAAGATTTTTTGGTAAAGTGTTAGGTGTTCTTTCTTGAATGTTCGGTATGCCGTGTGCACAATAACAAAGAACCAAACAACAACATCGATCGTACCGTCGTACATCGGTAAACTGTTTCGTGTAGTTTCCGTGGAGTTTTTCTTTTTCACACACAATGGGTTTTCGGTAAATTTTCATCGTTGTGTGTTTGTTACTTTTTGGCGTCCATCCGAAGCAATGCACTCACACTCACGTGCCAAATTGTGAATGGAATAGCAAAAATTGTTGAACGAATTTACGACAATACAGACAAGTGCGTGTAGAGTGAGATTGAGAAACAACCAATACAAGAAACAGTAAATACCAGCACATGTATGCATCGCACCGAACACTATTATTCTGGAACATATATGAGTTTTGTTTGTGTGTGATTCGATAAAAAAAAGATCGGCCGTCTATTCCGTTTGCTGGTCTCATTACACCGACTGGCTGAGGTCGTACGTTGTATGTGTGTCGCTGGAGACGTACGTGTTTGTAAATACAGCTTGAAGTTTCTCGTTAGATAGAGAGAGAGAGAGAGATTGAGAGAAAAGAGAGAAAGATGGCGATATAATGAAGGAACAGCAAAGTAAAGTAAAGCAAATCAGGCTGTCAGCAGCCAACCAACACACGTGCACCGCGGAACGAAGATTCTCAATCAGATTCAGATTCATTGCGATTCCGAGTGTATTGCGTCGATTATTCAAATACTCATAGTTTCTCTTCTGTGTTGTCGTATTTGTGGCGGCGGAGCCCCGCGCGCTTCATTGTAATTAAGTTGAAAATTGTTTGTACTCTCAACACAGTTTTTTTTTCTCAAAACTGTTGTTGTTGTTGTTGCGGATTGGATCGATTTCTCTCTACTTCTGTGTCTATTTCTCGGGTTTTTTTTCCCCATTTTGCCTTCATGTATATGAGTGTATGCCCGTGCGCGATTCTTTGTGTGTATGTGGTGTTCCGTTCTCTATCTCTCTGTTTGTACGTGTGAAAATTATACAAATTATAGTATAAGAGTAGATGCTTAATAATGCGACATCATTTGTTATGATTTTAAACGTGGTACCGACTCGTACCATGCGCGCGATGCACTGCCATGAGCTAATGATATGTAGAAAAATCAGACTTTGTCACTTGTCTCAATTTTCATACGATTGTGTGTATATGCGCTGTTTTTTTTTATTCAACATGATCATCATCATCATCATCATCATGTGCGAAGACGCCCGTCAGAAAAACGCGTGCGCCTGTTCCATCACGGTTCTCAGCTCAGCTTTGGGCTCTTGCTCTCTCTTTCCTTCTCTCTGTCTGTCTCTCTCCCGCTCTCGAAACCGACACTTTCAATCGCATGGATGAGGCAAAAATAAAATAAATAAATTTCAGTTTATTTAATGACATGAAATAAAATAATCAAATTGAAATCCATATCACAGCGGCGGCTCACCCGAAGACGCAGCAAAAATATAAAATAGCAGCAACGACACATAAACACAATGACTGCACCTTATTTGCTTCTCTCTCTCTCAAAATTATGCGCATATTGCAGAAAAACGAAATGAAACGAGCGAAAAAAAAGACGAAAAATTCCATTGATCTTAAAGGCATCGGGTTATTGGAGGCATTTGTCCATTCTCTGTGGAACCATTTTTGATCGGATCATTGAGGTTGGCACGATTAAATAATGTCTTCAATCTTCGAATCGCCGATTTCAAAGTCTATGGATGCAACAATATATTTATTTTTTGTGAACAATTTGCATTCTCGTCGAACCGGTTAAAAATCGTTTTCTGTTTCTCTTCCATCAATGTTGATTGTTTGAAATGCTATTTGCAAGCGTCTTCATCGCACATCAAATCCATCAAACAACAACAACGACTACAATAATATTAACAAAAAAAAAACTAAATAAATAAATAGAGACAAATGCATTTAAAGACATTGATCATTTGATCAAATCAATGACCTCAGCTGATGTGGCGCACGTTTGCAGCTTCCACTCGAGCAGATGAACGGGGAAAGAAGAAGCAGAAGTAGAAGCAGAGAAAAAAACACGAAGCAAATCATTTTATCTAAACCATACCAAACCGAACGATTAACGCTTCTGAAACATCGACCTGCATACATATTATATCCAAAAAAATCGATGAAGCAACATAAACAATTTTCCAGGAAATTAATTCGTTGCCTTTTATTGAGTTGATTCAGCATCTATTTGTGTCAAATATATAAATATACACACATATGATGATGTGATATTTATGTCTTGCAATGGCAAACACAACATTTGATAATGTTAAAAGAAAGACGATCCAATTTACTACACGCGACACTTGTGATTGTGCACTGACTGTGAGTGCCCATGAGTTTCTATATATTTAGACGTTGATTGTATTTCCTGCTACATAGATGATTAGGTTATCTGATGAATTAACGTATATTTGGTTGTAACTGGAATGGGTTATTCCCAATTCAAATTGAACATGTTCTCTCAACGAAGTGTGATGAGTTTACAAAAAAGAAAAACAGCACAAACTACGGCAACAACTAAAATTGGTCACATGAAATGAATGCCACGTATTTTGTTTTTTTTTTGCTATCTCTATCTATCTCTCGGTCATTCGGTATCGAATGAATAATTTTGAAAGTATTTTCGTTTTGTTAATTATATGCTCTTGTGACCAAAAAAAAAATTCGTCACGCTCATCACTTTGTATTGTGGGTATCCGTCTATCTAGTACGATTTAGCCACAAGTCAATGAAGTGTTTGGTCATTATATAATCATCTTAACGTTTCAGAGAGTTCATTTACGCTCATTTACATTTCCTTCATTGAAGACGGCGAAAATGAAAGAAGAAGCAGCTGCTCAGCACGAACAAAAAGCAGCAGCAGCAACCACCACCACCACAACAACAACAACGCACAAGTTCATTCGCGTACTTTTGTTAATTGTTTGCAATAATTAATTATAGAAAAGAGATCAATGCACACAGATAACAGCTCCACAGTCCGTTGGTCAATATTGAATCGATCAATCTCTCTTTCTTTTGTTCGTCATTTCATAATAGCAACGTTGCTCTCGTTCGGTTGGAGAAAATGTGAATCTCACATCGTTCGTCTACGCGGAACTTATGCATGCAAAGAAAGTGAAATTTATGGACCCCATTGTATGCTGAATGAAACAAAAAAAAAACACACAGCCGTACATAGATAATCGGCGATATGCGTGCCTATGTTGCGTATAAAATGACTACCGATGATTTTTTTTCTCTGTGCCTATTGAACACCGTGTAGAAAAAAAAACACACTGTGTTCAATACATCTTCACATTTGAATGATTGAAGCATTTCGCGAATCGTTGACCACTTTTTTGTGGCTCATTTAACTCAGAGTATTTTTTTTTCGGTTTGAACGCGAAAAAAAAACACTTTGCAATTTGATGTTCAAGAACTTGAGGTAATGGTACAATTTTTTTTATCGGTTAGTAAATAAACATTGGTTATTATGGAATCGACTAAAACACGAGAAAAAAAAGTGTTAAAAATCATGGGAATGCATGTCGGTGGTTCCTTTTTTTTCTTTCTCTTTCTTCACATTTTGGATAACATATTTTTGTGGGGCGTATATTTTGGCGTAATACCATCGGCGATATCATTGAACAGAGCGTTTCACTAAATTGTTTTCCATTGCTGAATGAACAAAATACGCCAATTATTTGGTATGAAATGCGTAATGAAACCATTTCGAGGAAAGTACATAATTTGTGAGGAAAAACTTAACAAACAACACAATATTTCAACATCGATTGAATATCATTTCAATATGTGACATTCAATCTGCTTAAAATAAGTAAAAAAAAAAACATTCTTATTCTTTCTATAGATAATCTTCTTCCTTTTCCACTTCCTTCATTTTCTCGGAACAAGATTTGATTGAGTTCGTCGAAGTCAATGTTTACAGAAATCGTAAACGCAAAAGATGATTTTTTGTCATTCCACTCACAACAAAGACTCATCAGTTATCTTGTATTTTGTTGAATGTTTTGTTCTTCAACTCCTTTTCGAATTGTTTACATTCAAAAATTCATCTTACGTTATCAAAGATTATTTACGAGACAATTAATGAATGGGAAAACCAAGCTTTATCAAGTATACCAGGATTTTGGCATTTTGGACTTTGTTTACGTACATTTTTTAGCGAGAAATGATAAAAATTGTTGCCATTTGGTATGAATGGTATGTGATTATGTGATAAAGCAATTAAATTTATCGTGAATTGGATACGACCCATTTCGTTCGCTGTATGCTAAGCACCGAAGGCGCTAGCAAACGAACATCGTTTCATTAAATGACCAATGACCTCTGAGAATGTTTTTTTTTTCGTTGTTTTTGGAAATGCAAAGCTATAAATAAAGTATGAATAAATGTTTGAATGGATTTATTAGAAATGGACAGGGGTTCAGTCGGTATGTTTGTTCAATTGTCGTATTGGTTTTTATAACAAGTTGTGACTTCTGAAAAAAGACATCAAATGCAGGATTCATTGAAACGTTGAAAATCGACCAAAAAAAAATCGATATCAATCGAAATATCGAGCATTAGTTAAACAACAATTTACGTAGATTTGATTTCCAGTTTATGGGTTTTGCCAAATATTGCCATCCGTTATGGTTTCATAATTCTAATTTGATCTGGCATGCCAGCACCATCGGGTGGAAATTATTACAATCACATTTCAAAACATTGCCGTTCCGAAATTGTACTCAACTTGTATATTGACGTCTCAATATATGATGGAAAACCAAAAACTAGCCCATGATATACAAAATGATATATCAAATAACTAGAAAAAGGTAATGAAAAATTGTTAGATTAAATTTCGATATTCGAATTTATTCAAAATTCACCGGGAAAAAAAGCGACCAATTTGAAATGTCCATTCAAAACAATAGTCGAATCGTGTCAGCTCAAATATTTGATTTGTGTCAAGTGTTGTGACGTACGTACTTAAGCTACTCAATAGCCCATAGCAGCTGTATTGACAGGCCGCTGTCACAATTCATTTCATCGACCCGAAATCGTATTTTTGTTGGTCGATGTAAAAACTTCACCGTGGATTAAAATTGAACGAAGAAAAAAATCGCTTCGGGATATCTGGGAAATTGAGTTTGATCGGACATAAAGCGTACAGGTTTCTGTGTTAATTGATGAAATATGGTGATAACATTAGACCATGATTTACCAACCGAAGATGAGCTCACTGTGCCCGAACTGAAGCTATCGGGTCCAGCTCTTCGTGCTGGTGCATTTCATTTGGGCAAATACTGTCAAGATACATTTAATGTAAGAACACTATTTTTTTTTCCTTTGGTTTTATTTTGTCCAATCATCCTGATCCATTCAACTCTCAATCGACCGGTGCACAATTATTGTATGAGTACTTGAGTTATGATAAATCTCGTGATAAATACGGAAATTTTCATTGAAATTTTGACAAGAAAACATTATGTAATGCTTCGTCAATGGCGTATATATATATCAAAGCAAACGCATAAACCATAACCTTAATTTTTTTTTCATCATCGATGTGATGAAAGAGAAATAAAAATAAAAACAATAATACGGATTGATGTGATTAGCTGACACTTCCGCACATTGATTTACATAATTATTTAATTCAATGAAACATTTTGGACTGTGAACATATTACTGGATTTTATTCAATTATTTAAATTGTTTATCAAATTTGATGCATATCGAATTTTGCTAATATTTTTCTTTTTATCTTTATTTTCGTTGTGTTGTTGTTATTTCAGGAATTTATGCTGTGCCGCGATGAGCTGCAGGATCCGAGAAAATGTGTGAAGGAAGGAAAAGAGGTGACCAACTGTTCCTTTGAATTCTTTCGTTTGATTAAAAAGACGTGTCATGCGGAATTCGCTCAGTACGCTCATTGTTTGGACAAAAGCAGTGCGGATATGAATTATAAACATTGCCGTAACACTCAAAACGTATTTGATAAATGCGTACTAGATAATTTGAACATTGAGCGTCCGGGTTATGGTTACTTTTGCCGAGCTCAGGTTGTTAATACGAATCGACCAAAGCCGCCAACTTCCAAAAAACCGCACTACGACGATGTTCCAATTGGTTTACCCGACGATGCACCAAGAACGCCAGCCAATTACGGAGGCCGAACATTTGTGTGAAAAAGTGCAGCATTTTCACAGTCATACACACTAGAAAAGCAACATTTTATAATAGTAATAAAAAAATAAAGTTGAATCGTAAATGGAATCATTGAATGGTTTTCATATCGCATGTCAGTCACACACTAATCAAATTGTTTTTAGGTACCACACACACACACACACACACACACACACACACACACACACACACACACACACACACACACACACACATCCGCCAGACAAATATCAATTTGATGGCAAATTCCGATAATTGTTTTGACGCAATTTTTTGGCAGCTAATTTATTTTGTGCCGAGACTAATGCGTAATCCAAATGGTGTTAAGATTGATAGACAATCAATATATCATGCAGAATAATAAAATGTTTCATGTTTAATTCAACCACTGGAAATAATTATGTCAATCGGAATGACGCAGAACAAGTGCTCGTACCATCTAGTGAAACGGTGCATTTGCTATTGTTATTTTTATGTGCGAATGCAAACTGCATGCCATTGCATTGTATGACTTTTATCCGATTTAATCTGAAAATGCGAGCACCGATTCGAATTACGATAAGGTAAAGTTATTGTCAAGAATTCCACCAGTTCGAATTTGGATTACAAAAGGAAAAAAAAGATTGCAAATATCAGCCAAAATATAGACGACGAAACTGAACAACAACAACAACAGCATAACGGTGAAATCCAATTTTCGAGGTATATATTTAATTCACATATCACACACAGCCTGTTGTGACTCCATAACTCATGTTCAATACGCTATTGTATCATTTTTTTGGCGTGTATGTCGTATCAATATGATTACGGTGAGTAGCAGAAGAAGAACTGCCAGGTTTGTGTGATACACGTGAGAAAAACACTTGGCAACGGATAAACAACACATTGTAAGCGTTGCATTCGCTGTCTGTTGTATCAATAGAGTAAGAACAAGGGGGTTGCCTGCGATGGGTGTCAACAACAATTTGCAACACCGACACACACACACACACACTACAAATCCTATTATTTGGTCTGTTTTTGCACACATCACCTAACAAACGGCGGCACCACATCATTCAAAATATTTACAGAGATGTAGTCGAGCCCATGGAAAAGGCCCCCGAGTCATGAAACTTTTCAATATGCAGACGTATATAGAATAACAATATATGCAATTTTTCACTTTCGTCGATCTATTTTGCGAGGTTTGATTTGTTGCTTTTCTGTTTTCGACTTTGATATTTTTGTGATAAAAGTTTGGGTTGTTTTTTCTCCCGATTGTTCGTTCGTTCGTTCATTGGTTTTGTCTGCACTGGCTGTAAACCACTAAGAAAATGGCTTCGTGCAAACAATCATTTAGTTGTCTTGTTTCAACGTTAAGTTTTGCATTATAGCTTTCGGTGTGCTTATAAAATATATATTAAATAATAGAAATATAGTCAATAACCACTTATTTGTTATTAGAAAAGTATGTGGAAAATACAAAAAAAAAACCAAGTATGAGAAAATCACATGAAGCTTCGCTAATCAACAAATAGTTTCAGACAAATAATAGGCAAAATTTGACAAGGAGAAACAAAAAAAACACATACACCACGTCAACAAGAGACGTAAAGAAAATAAGTAAAATACGTCAAGAATACTATAAATATATATCGGGTGAGCAGCTCATCGATGTTTGCAAAGATGTTAGAATCAAATGTGATTTCGAACGGTGACTGCACACGATGGTAAGTGCTTCCCATAAATCTTGTGTTTTTTTTTGTTGTTGTTGCTGTTGCAAAATCATGCAATTTTCTTCTCCACAACCAATTTGTCGCCTTATTGAACCATTTTCTTTTATCGGATTGCAATTTATTTTCAAATGCACAAACTTAACAACAATAAAATGAAAAAATCGACCGACAATTTTTTTTTTTTAAACTATTTTCTTCAAAATCATTGGAATTGTTTATTCTTGATGGAAAAAAAAAACCGACGACAACAACAACCATAAAATTTTAGGCGTCCCAATCGAATACACGGCAATCGAATACCCGCAAAAGCTTACAAACGGCCAGTTTGAAAAGTCGTGGTGCTATGATAATGAAGAGTGTAACGATTTTGATAGTCAATAGCCGGCGTATCTGTAACCAACGCAGCAAAGAAACAACCACGAAAAATGGCAAAAGTGGTAAAATTCGTAATCGACCAAACAAAATGGACGACGCGATCGGCAAACCAACGCCAAAAGTATTGGAATCGTTAAAACGGAAAACGCATTTTTCCAAGTAAGTTTTTTTTCTTCTGGTTTTTCATTTTGCAGACAATTGGCAATTTGTGCTATTGACTGACGAAAATGAAATGTGCGAATTTAAATGTCATTCGAATTTACAGGAAGGAGCTAACGATTTTGTGTAAAATCTATCGAAAACTTGTTCTCAATTGTTACAATCCGAATAGCAAGGGGAAAACGGGTATGAGTACAGTTATATCAAGGCCACATGCTGCAGCTGAGGTAATCAATAGCAGAACTAGACTAATTCGTTTTTAAGTAATTTCAAGTGACAATAAATCTGTATACTTGAGTTTGAATCGTCAAAATATTTTGGAATAAATTATTCTTTTGCAATCAAGGGTATCGATCGAAATGTGTTTCGCGAACTGTTACACAGTACGTTTGACATATCGGCTGAAGAGACCTTGATGGAACGAATATTTACGTCATGGGAAAAGGGTTGCGACGGATTACCGCTGCGATTGGAAAGTTGGATTTGTGGCATTTCGGTATTTTTACGCGGTAATTTATTCGAAAAGGCGAATTTTTGCTTTCGTGTTTATGACTTGAACACCGACGGTTTTATCACGAAAGACGAAATGTTTGCATTGATGAAAAATTGCCTAATTAAGCAACCACAAGATGAAGATCCTGATGAAAGTGTAAAAGACTTGATGGAAATTGCCCTACGTAAATTCGATATTGACAAAGATGGGAAAGTGAGTAACAAATAATTTCCTAATTCGATTCAAATGTACAGTTTTATTGCGATTTTTGTTGTTTTTCTCTCTCTCTCTCTCTTCAGATTTCGTTTCAGGACTATTTGACAACGGTTACGGCAGAGCCATTACTTTTGGAAGCATTTGGCCAGTGCTTGCCATCGGAAACGGCCACAATTTCATTCTTGACTGCATTCCAAAATTAACACATAAATTCGAATGGTGCATTTTCAATGTTTTTGTTTTTTCGGCTTTTTCTCTTTGTGCTTGGCAAGAAATACCGGTGGCACTAGATTTGTTGTACGCAGCTCAGTCTTTCCCATGTACGGTTGCAATGCGTCCGGAACGCGTAACGAACGCGGTGTCTGTTTGAACAAAAAGAAAATGGAAGAATAAATGGCATTTTTTTAAACAAGAAATCGATGAATTTTCCTACCTGATATTGCTCTATAATTGAAATTATCATTCGTGGTATCGCACATGCAGTCCCATTGACGGTATGCGCATGGAATTTATGTGCTCCGTCTTGGAAGTAGATATTCAAACGCTTTGCTTGGTAGTCGGTGCAATTGCTGGTACTTGAAATCTCTCCGAATTCATTTCGCGATGGCATCCAAGCTTCGATATCATATTTTCGGTAGGCTGGTGCCCCTAAATCGTGTACTGGCATATCATAAAGTTTGAAACAAAGCCCAAGACCTTCGAACAAACTACGTTGAATATCGCGAAACTCTTCCAAAAGCCCTTCGGATTGCGATGGCAAACAAGTGGCAAACATTTCAACTTTGGTAAAACAATGCACACGATACAGATTCCCATCCGTCCCTGAACCATCTGCCTCAGCTCGAAAACATCGGCTAGTCGCCATCACTTTTTTCGGCGCTTCGTCCACTTTCAATGTTTTGCCACTAAAGTAGCCCGCTAGTGCCATTTCTGATGTGCCCGACAAACATAAATTCGAAGGTTTCAAACGATAAATCTGCAAAATGAATGAGAAATTTTAGACTCTTTCTTCAACGACCAGTTGTTCTGACACTTACCTGATTTGGATGACCTTCAACTTGCATTCCGCAGCCTTCGATTAGTTCCGCCGGCAAAATGTCAGGCACCACAAGTAGTTCGAATCCTTCTTTGAGCAAAATATCCTGTGTATATTGAATCAGTGCCTTTTCCAATTCCGCTATACTGTCCATAAAATAGTATGATCCCGGACCGGTAAAATTACCCAGCTGACTCATTCGAATTGTGTTTGACATTTTGCCTAGTTCTTCGTAACTTTTGAAATTTGGCATCGGATTTTTGTGTAGATCACCAAATGAATACAGTTCCACTTTATCCGAATCGGCTCCATAGCTCAAGACGGTTGGATGCGTTTTGTTTGAAAACTTTTTCAATTCGTTCATCAACTTCAATCGAAGTTCGTTCTTCTTTTCATTGTCACATTCATTGTTATAGCCCTTGAAGTAATGCCGCAACAACTGTACACTTCCACGGCTCTTTCGGATTTTACTTTCCTCCTCGATTTCATTGATTGCCTTTTCATCGGGTAGGTAATTGTCATAAAATTCACTATTCCAACTAAACTGTCTCGGTTTAAAATTGCTAAGCTCACGCGCTGATAATACCTTTCGACCAAGTCGACCGAAATCAAACCAATTTTTTGGATTCAACATTTTGCGGTTGGATTCAACATTTCAACAGCGGTTGACATGAGCATGCAGTTGACAGTATCACCCCAGCAAATGTGCTATACTTAAAATATGTATACTTAATATTAAGTATTTACTTATTCTGATTGTGTTTTAACACAAACACACAGAAAGAAAATTCAAATCGCTTCGGAAAGATTTTTCGATTTATTTCCCCATGAATATACCTAGTTGCATGCAATTGGACTTAAATCTATTGTAAATTCGTATTTGGCGTGCGAAAAATTACATACTAAGATACGAGGAAAATCAAGACAGTAAATTTTAGTACATTATTTTAACAATACTCTAAGTTTGTTTGTCGCATTTAGTTTTATCTCGAGAACTTTAGCCAATCCGTTACGATTGTCCAAACATCGATTAGGGTATTGTTATATACATGCAAGTTTTTTTTATCACACATTGCAAAAAAGCGCTAATTTCGAATTCAATTTATTTCCACCTGCACCACTGTCATTTAGTAGAATACTCAACAGCACATACTTAGGCGTTGATTATTGATTTGTTTACTTTCTAATGTCATATTGTCCATAAGCCGACGAATCATTGACTCGCAAAAATTTGCACGTAAATTCTCATTTTGCCAACAGATATTTCTTTCATTTCATTATGGCAAACGAAACGATTATAAAGAATCTGGAAAATCAATTGCAACGTTTGGTTCAACAATCAGCCGATTTGGAGGAGTGCAAGTAAGAATCCAAATTGTTATCGAATTACGAAACGATAGTTAAACATATTTTATTTTCTAAATTCAGAAATGACTTGACCGAGGAGGAATATGAGAGCATGAAAGATGAGACTCTGGAGCAAATCAAGGAATTCACTGGGACACTTGATCGTTTGAACAAAGGCGATGTTACACTAAACAGTAAAATCTCATCAATGCGTGATGTATGCCTCTTAAATCAATTATTTAAGACGATAGAAATAAATCGACAAGAATTTTTGCTGTTTGATTTGTAGGTGATACGAAAAGCGATTGCAAACTCCTTCAACACCCTTGAAATGATTCGAATTGCCGGCGATCAAAGTCTCAACGAACAGGCAAATCGATTGGCTTCACTCGAAGAAAGCTATCAGCTGAAGAAAATTTCAACCGATGAATACAATAATAAAAAGGTGACTTTGATTGCTTTCCCTTCTTCTATTCAATTTTATGATAGGAATTATTCCTTATTTTTACGTGTGTTTTTTGTGTGTTGGTTCAATAGCGTGAGGTGTTGTTGCAGCTAGTGGACTTTGGGTATACCTTGTCACTAGCCGACAAAAAGTTCCTTGATAACCAAACTGACTCGGAAATACTTGAGAATTTACGAAGTGTTGACGACGGATTAAACTAGATTATTTAATCTTTTTTGATATGCTATTATAATATAATATTATATTGCTTACCAAATGTCAAACCATTCCATAACGATATCGATATGCTATTGCGTTTTTTTCAAAGAATAACTTCATAAAACAATAAAAAAAATGGTAATATATAATAATCGGTGTGTGTTTTTTTTTGGCAAATTTATTTTAAAAATCATAAGATTTGAGTTGTATTGTTTGTTCTGTTTTGTTCTGTTGTTAAATCCTCATATTTTAAACGATTTATAATCATATTTGGTAAATCTCTAGTTGTCTTGTGGAAATGAAGTGTGAGTAAATGTATTCTACTGTGTCGCTTATTGTTATTTCATTTAAGTATAGCGCCCTGAATTTAAAATATATAAACTTGTATATTCCACTGAATTTTAATGAACGGATTGAATATGTTTCTATGTTTTTTAATTAAATTTTTTTGCAGTAAAATGTTCGTGTTCATCATCTGAGTCTGGATTAACGAGCTCAACGGCACATTTACGTGGAAGCCAGCCACGGATACGAATTTTCTTCGTTATTAATTTATCCCCGTCATTCAAACCGTTTTTATCAGTTTTCTGTTTGGCACCTTGAACTTTTTCTCCGAATAACCAGTACCTGCGATTGATGAACAATGTTTGAATTGGTTAAAATTGTCGTTGTTTCGAACGAAAGAAAAAATTAATATTGGAACACATACTTCTTCCATCGTGTGACTTTGACAATGTCTCCTACATCTAGTTTGATCCTGGGTTCGTCTGTGCAAGGTGTGTTTAGAGCAACAACAAAGCCTTGTGTCCAAAATGGTAGCCAAGACCCGGAGGCAGCCTTTTGAATTGAGTAAGTTCGAGTTCTGGCACGTTTCTCCTCTTTCTGCGCAATTTGTTCGATCTGAAGAGAATAAACGGATCGTTTATTTGAAAAAAATAAAAAATAAAATGCTCCATGAATTTCTTGAGATGACAATCCAGCCCTATAACTGGATTCAAATTTATATAATTAAAAATACCGTAAGCGTGTATTGGTTACATCCACTGCGAACTTTCCAATGAATACCATCGCCGATGGGAGCACAACTGGGATCGGCTACTTGTTTTATATTGTCCCATGTTCCCAGGTCATAGGGAAAGATGAAATTCTTATCGCTACCTTCATAACGATAGTTAGCCTTCTCTAAAATCCAGTCCTCGATTCCAGTTCGATTCCGCATAATTGCACGAACCTAATAAATCAAAATGTATACAATTATTTCAACACCATTTTCGAGTGTCTCGTTTCCGACCAGAAAAAAAAAAGAAATCTTGCACAAATCGTCGAAATTACATACTTGAAAGTATAATAGCATGCCAACTGCGATCACGACACCCACGGACAGGCCCAGACTAAAGATACTCAAACTGAGGCTAATCATTCCAAATTGCACGGTAGCCAAATGAAGTTGATTCGTATAAATATACCTATACATTGAAGTGATAAAAAATATGAATACGTGTAAATGGTAAATTAGCATAGCAAATAATAGCGTTTCGTTTATTAGCATAATAAATATAATAATCATTTATGCTTAATTGTACGGTACCATGAGTAGTGGATGCCTCGATAAATGGAAGCCGATAAAATGATGGTCGATTGAATGCAGCCAAGCACCGAAAATGCCAGGAAACTCGTGAAATATGCATGATTATTCCAGCCAACACACTAAATGCGCCAACAAACAGAAAAGAAAAACAAAAACAATATTAAATATTTGAAAGAGGTCAACAATGGCCAAAAACCAAATATTATTCTATGTAATGGTTGGTTGTGCCAAAAAATTTTTACCGTATTTAGCCAGGCTGCAAATAAAAGAGGAGAGAAAAACAAATTCGTTATTTTTCTATGAAATTTTCGCTAATAATATACTTTGCTATTGGTGAAAAGTTAATTATTTTCCAAAAATAGAAATAGTTTGTAGTGCTTACGGCAATGATGATCCATTTTCATAACACATCGTTCACACTTTCGGCAATGATGTGATCTAGGTGCTTTGTATCCCTCACAAACACTGCAATATTGCAACATTTTTTTGGCTCTTTTATCCTGTAAGTGATGAGAGAGGTAGAAAAAAAAAACCAGTGAATCGAAATCCTGGGTATGTGTGCATTTTGGCAATATATAGAGGGTAACCGGAACATGCGTTCATAACAAGATTTGTTGGTTTGCATATTTCGTTGATATGTCTATGTGGAACACTCACTTTGGGCTCCCATTTAAGCGGTAAGAATCCCGGGCCACAAATCGTACCCATGACATAATTGAATGCGGAAAGCGCGGACAGAATCAGGAAAACCATTTGATGTATCATCCCGCCTACAGACCGATTCGGTGGCCACCACATCGAATTTATGTACAATGTTGTAAGGGTAACACATTTTATAATGCCTGCAAGAGAGAAAAAATGAGAGAAATGTTTTATTTAAATTTTATTCTTCATACACGATAGAGTAAAAGCAACGGAATACGGCAACGCTGGAAAATGGAAAGTGAGAAAAACGGGAGGAGAGAGAGAGAGAGAGAGGAAGACCAAGCAAACAAATTAGCATAAATAAATGAGCACGTGTGAACAATTTAGCTTGAGCACAAAGTGAAGTAAAGTGAAAACTCCTTCCTTTTCCTTCCGTTGGAGTCGTTGAAGCAGTTGCGGTTGTTCTCAATGTTATTGTTATTTTTCTTGTTCTTTTAAAAACAAATAGAAACGAAGAAATGTGGAAATGAGTCGTTTTCCTCGGCTGTACGTGATAGCAATCGTATCCTTTTTGTATCGTTTGAACAAAACACAGTGAAAGCACTTTCGTGCAATGTTGACCATAAGTGACGGCGACGAATGCAAGAAAAAAAAACACAATGTGCATGCATAAATTGTTGTGTTGATGTTGTTGCTTCGTTTTTTTTCTCTCTCGTTTTGGCCACAAAGAAATTGTGGAATTGGTAATAAACATGCGATTCACATGAGATTCAGTATAATGCAGCTACTAAAAGCGCAACGAACTCACTCAGCACTTTCACAAATGAGCGTCCGTCAATTAATTTATCCCTCCGCCCACTATCTAAATCAATCCATGCATATGCTTAAACTCTTTCTCACATTGTTCCATGCGGCGGCCAACACTGGACGAATGAAAATGAACCAACTTTTTATTCGATATAACTTGACATTTTAATTAAGCCATTTTCATTGAATTGTTTTGAACAACAACTTATTTTAACATCTCAGGTGTTGACACAAATTAAATTTAGATTAAATGGCAGTTCAACTTTTCGAAATTTCTAATTAAATAGTATGGAGAAACTTTCTTATTCTGACATAAAATTTGATTTGCAAACGTTTTCGAGACGATCTTGTCTCATCTTGAGGCACAACAAAACTGAAACAATTTTCGCAAATTCAAGCCATAGTAGGTATTCAATAGTGGTGGAGCAACCAACTTCAGACACATGTATCTGAAAATATATTCGCAAACATATCTCCGAATCATAACGATCAAGCCTTTATCATCGCCGTTATGGCTCATTTAATGGCACCGAGGAATAAATATTTCGGAAACCGAAAATTGAATTAAGTTTTGAAATAATTTAGGTAAATTGGATCGTAATTCAATGCTAAAAACATAATTCATTCTTTATTCCATTGTTTTTCTATTTCGGGTAGGCTCTTTTATTTTACTTTGACATGGTAGTAAATACTTTTTTCGATGCGCTTCTGACCGTGTTGCTTTTTTTCACTCAGTTTTCTATTTGTTTCAAAGCAATCAATTAAGACCGCCCGCCCGTTCGATAGTTGGTTGGTCTAATTATGCCGATTGTTGAGCCAAGCAATTTAATCAAATTGCCAGGTTTGAGTTACATATAAATAGTTCTTGTTGCGATAATGAATGCAATGCGTCAAAAAAATTCCTTCTTTTGATTTCTGTCGCGATTTTGTTTTTATTCGGGGTTTCTGTTCACCCATTCCATTCAATGTGTTCTTTGTTACTTCTGCTGGTAATTGTGTTGTTGATTTTCTTTTCTTCTGATATATTCATTTAAAAATATTGTTTGAGCACGCAAAAACGCAATATATCCTAAACGTCCAAATGTTAACAAAATGCTTTGGGAATATTTCACCATCATAATTATATGGAATCTATATATGACTAAATGTCTAGCCAGACCTCACGGGCGGTTAAATACAACAAAACAAACGCAAAAGTTCTATCTTGATTTAGAGAACAACACGAGCCAATTCTATTGTCGAACAACAACAGAAAAAATAAAAATCAATTTTTATGTGTAAATTCCAGAGGTGAATTTATAGTTTTGGTTTTGTATTGGATTTGAACGGGATTCATTTTAAATATAACTTTATAAGTTGAAGTAGTGACTGTCGATTAAATTCCTGCATTCGTTCATTTCCTTTAATAGGTGCCATTAGGGAAGAAACCCTCTATTGAAAGTCTCTATGAACGTTTTCTTCGGCTAAGAAATTAAAGGCCGAATTGCTCTAGTATTGCCAATAGAATTGTTAACGACATACACCGCACAACGTTTTCTTTCTGCTTAGTGTTGGCATTTATTGTGAAAATAAACGTGTGGTAAAATAACAGATTTACCGAGGACCATTCCGATATGTTTCCTTTCAGGTCATACCATATTTTATGATTGCAATGAAAATGGGAGAACGAACAAAAAAAATGTATGCTAAAGTGCAAATGCTGGCACTCATTCAAAAATGATCGAACAAACTCTTATTAAATTTCATATTGACATATTTCGGCACGTAGACCAATACGCTTTGCAGTATTTTGAGAAAAAAAGGACTGTTTTTCTCCTGTCGTGAACAGAAAAAAAAACCGAAAAATTTAAATTACACAGAAAACCATAATTATTTGTTATAATTTTCATTGAATCATTTGCATAATTGCATTGGATGTCGTTAAAATATGCAGAAATAATCGATGTCATACGAAAGGTTAGCATTGGTCGGACATGCTTCATTCATATATATTGCCATTTAAAATTGCAATTTAACCGTACACCAAATAAAATGAAACATTTAACAAATTGTGCATGTGAAATGAGTTTACATTGGAATCGGCAAACACACAATTTGGTTTACTTTTTCGCCGATGTGCTATGAATACATCATCATCGACATCGTCATCTCAAATGAATATGTTTGGCTTGGTTTGGTCGCAAAGAATTTGTATTTCTCTTTTAAGTTACAGCCAACCAGACACTCCAAACAAAGTCGTACCATTTCATTTTTCCACGAAGAAAAAAAAATTATCAAACAAATATTGTGCATATTATTGCTACGACGGAGATAAGACCGGGAATAACACCGAAGATAAATGTGTTGATTTGATGAAGTTTGTTTGTCAATACATAACCTCACTTGGTTCCACATATAAACAATCTGCTATACGCAACAATTTTTTTTTCGTTTTACTATCACACAAATATTCATCGGTTTCGCATTTTTTTCTTCTTTTAATTTTTGTTCCTTACCAATGGCAACGGCTGGTCCCCAATGCAAAAATCGCTTCAGCGATTTTTTCAATGAACTACTCATATTTACATAATTTATTCGGATTGTTCTTCTTTTTTTTTATCTCAATGTTGGCGTATGAAAGAAAGTATGCTGTCAACTCAAATCACTACCGAAAAACACAAACACACACACACACACAAACGTACGCACACACAACACCAAAATGGAAATCGTCTATCGAGAAATGCACTTTGTATTCACCAGAAAACGAGAAAAAAAACAAATTATATTTTAAAGAAGACGACGCCGTTGAAGAGCGTAGAAAACGAAAGTAGCGATATATTCACTTATATGACCGATGCGAAAGAAACATATGAACGATGTGTTGTTGTGAGTTGCTTCGTGCATACTAACTGCAAAATACAGTTGTTTATTTTGGTTCGATAGACTTGATGTTAAGTGTCAAGAACAGCGTCTACAAAGGGGAAAAAATGTTGACAACAAAGTTGACATATCACAGCGGAGTAGCTCGGCAGACGACGACGACAACGACAGCGGCGATGGTACGAACGGAAAGTGGAAGTGAAGAAGAAAAGAAGCAAGGGAAAAAAAGGGAGAGAAGGAGCATAGAGCAAGCGCACATGAATAAAAATATAGAAAGAAAATGTTTGTAAGAATTTTTTTTCCATCCCGTTTGCGTTTTCTTCTTTCTGTGGATTGGTTGAAGAAGCATTGATAATGACATCTTGTGGGGCTTATGCAAACTTATTTCGATGGCTTTCAATCAAACAAAGTAACACATGAAACTTGACATAAAATGCGTTTCGTACGTTTTGAGATGCGTGCCATTACGATGAATACGTTGAAATTGCGGACTCAATGCAGGAATATGTGTTTTATGTGCTCAGTTTGTGTGCGAAAAATCGAGCGAGTGTACATGCGAATCAGGAGAAGAAAAAAAGAGAAATAATGTTTTAGTAGTATGGGAAGTAGCAAGACATCGAATGTCAAACTAACGGAGAACGGAATATTATAGTCGCAATTTATTTGAAACATGCTCAGGCTATTGGAGAGTTGATCATAATTGCTGCTTTTCTTTCTGCGGTACATCTTTTCGTCCCTTTTCCTTTTATTTCCTTGTTCATTCCGAAATATTCAGTCACGTCAATACTTTCTTCGTTGGTTTGTTCAAAAGAAGAAAAAATTAAAATTGAAAAAAAAAAACAAAACAATCGAGACGGGTGCAACCGTTCCCATACACAAATCCACAGTGATGGCGTGTGATTTGCCTGGAACTGCACAATCTGTGCGCTAAATGATACATAATTGTTACAATGTGGTTTGTATTTTGAATGCATAATTTATGCTTTTAATTAGCCTGACCGTTTAATTCGCGATGCGAAGGAGCGAACAAGAGCGAGCACGAGGCACACACACACACACGCTTAGTGGTTGCTTTGTGTGAACAGCGAGCAAGCTTTTTTTATGGCCCAACGTACACTCACTGGGTTAGCATGATATTTATGATAAAATGAACTAAAAATGATGAGAATACGCAAAGAAGTTGAAGCCAAAGCAAAAGAAGAAGAAGAATAAGAAGAAGGAAGAAGCGCAAAAAAATCATGTACAGAAGAGCTTTTTGAATATGATAGCATATCTTCATCCACCAGAGTAATAAGCGACCGTCGCTGCTTCTCGTGCTGCCTTAGCAAGTGGAAAGTGTACGATAAAGTGTACACTGTACATACACAGTGTGTGGTGTGTGCCTGTTTTGTGTACAACACACATGGAGCAGCAGCAGCAGCAGCAGCTGCCGCACCAACCAGCCAACCAGTGTGTACCAATACAATCATACCATCCATTTCAGAATTTTCCCCGACAATCCGATTAATCGGTGTGTTTTTTATTCGGTGCGCTATTATTTAGTGTCATAGAAGATATAGTTGTGTTGTTTCCATTCGAATATTCAGTTTCACTTGAGCCGTTGTGTGGATTGAACCCGAACGTGAGAAATTATCGTACAACGCAACATCCAACAAATTATTATAGAAAGAAGGTACCCAATTCCAAGCAGTAAAACAAGCACAATTTTCGAAAAGGAAAAAAAAGTAAAGAGAACGAACGGAGAAAAAAGAAGAAAACAAAAATCACGAGAAAATCATACGTATGAAAACGAAGTTATCAATTTCAAGTGATTCGTTCAGAATTCTCTACAATTTTTTGTTGTCTCATTTGCCTTTGTGTGTTTGTGTTTGTGTGTTGAAACTGTTGTTCATTTCGTTGATTTCGATTTCAAATTTACTGACATTGTTTTCAAGGTGCTTCGGTGGTCTAATGGAATAAAAAAACAGCAAAAAATAATCAAGAAGAAGAAGCAAAAAAATACTTTCCTTTGCAAGTCAAATAAAACAACAAGGTATATTGTCGCACAGAACTTGTTTGTTGTGTGTTAAAAACAATAGTGTTTGAATTTTATGTTCGATGTTTCATTCGACGTTGAATGAAAAACGACTAAACACAAACCGAATAACTGTGAGTGAAAAGTAAATGATATTTTAAACGTTTGGTGTATGAACGAGAGAGAGAGAGAGAGAACGAGCGAGAGACAAGTGCATTTATTTCAGTGTTTTATTATATTATTTATCGGTTTTTCTTTTCTTTTTTTCTTCAATTAAATTCAACGATTCATCAGTTTTTTTCTCCACCGAGTCTATTACGTAAAAAAACAAGACATAAGTGTTCACAAAAAGAGCAATGTATTTTGTCTGAAGATAGTGAAATTGCGATCATTTGCATAGCAATTGAAAACATTGCTTTTATCTTTCTTCGTTCATCGGATCGAATTTTTTCGGCCGAAAAATATTAAATGTTCTGAACTTCAACGAATTTTCGCTGACCATTCCGAATACTACGTCTTTCATTGTTACACACTTACGGAAGAATCAATTTTCATCCAAGGTTTTAATTTCTCACACTGTCTCTTTCGCTTCGGTGTTGGGACCGTTATGGCTTTCGATTGGCGGCAGTTCTTTTTTCCATTATTTCACCCGATATTCCTCCAAATCCATTTAGACGTAGTTACACACGAGAGCAAACACAATTGTATGTGGCTCTTTTCTCTCTCTCTCTCTCTCTCTCTCTCTCTCTCTCTCTCTCTTTCGGTTTCCTAAGTGTGAATCATCGCATGACTTATGTGCATTTCCAAAAGCGTACAATGTCTGAGCTGTGTTTGTTCGTCCTTTTTTTTCGTTGTTTGTTCGCTCACTCGTTCCCACTATCTCCGCATCGAATCGGAATGTTCGAATAAGGGCAAAAGATGTAAATCATCTTTAATTTAGTAATTTCAAAGAATTCAAAGCCGTCTTCTATGATGTTGGGTAATATTTTATCAACCTTGAGCATCATTGGATTATTGTTCTCACATTCCAAAACGGATCCACTTTTGCGAATCATTTTTTTCCTTTTTATTCCGTTGTTGTTTTTTTCTCTGTTCATTTCCATTTCAGACGAATGAAGGGTCTGGTTTGCTTTGCGTTTTTTTTTGTTCGTTTCTTTGATTTGATGATAGATGAACGAGTAAAAATGAAAAATGAGTTTAATTACAATTCAGTGTGTGCGTTGTTTGTTAAATATGAGATGAAATCTTCCAAGATTGCAATCAATTTAATACTCTCATTGCTAATTAATACAAAGACATTCTGAATGCAGTGTGACATGTACCGAAATTACTATTGAAAACGAGTCACAACTGAAACTCGGTACAGAGAATTCATGGTCAATTGTCACATTGACAAAGAAAACATTGTTTATTCTTTTCTTTTTTTTCACTCACTATATATATTTGCACCGATATCGATGTGTATTCTTTTCTCTTTATTTCTTTTTTTGCTGGAAGCACACTGTCATAAATGTTATTATGAAAGCCTCAATGATTGGCGATCGATATGGTGAATGAAAAGCATAGCGCATATGAGACATCCAAAGCTTTATGTTTCATATTTCATATTTTTCCAAGCAATGTGTCTAGACATAACGACTCTTTATAGTTACGGGCTATTAATGCGATGCTTTCCACAATCTAATTGAAATTCCTTCACTCTTTTCGCATTGCATTTATATTTGGAATGAAGACCAAAAAAGTTATAGAAAAAAAGCAGCAAATCAAAACCATCGATAAATAATTAATTAATTAATTAATTAGGTTAATATTCTGAATATTCTGCGGTTCATTTCCATTATTCGGTGTCGTGGAATCGTGAATAACATGTCAAAATCCACAAATTTCGGCCAATTTACACGACACATGGTTTTCACAATAGAATTGAAATGGAGAAAAGGGGATAGGAAGACAAAGAGTGAGAGAGTGAGCGAGAAGGACAGAGGACAGAGGAAAGAGGAATCAATTTGGATCGAATTCGGTTGAATAGAGTTTCCGTACATGACAGTTTGTTCGATTCTAGCCAGCGCTCGATAGCACTCATTTTTATTCAAAATTCCAACAGTTTATTTTTGGAATTCGCTCACAATATTTTTTTCTCCATTGGATTCGTGTAGGAGTGAAGGTTGAGTCGCTTTGTGGAAATTAATTTCAACTCGTCGAAGAAAAATTTATCATAAATGCAAGTTGATCAACTAAATAAATACCATGAACGAACAAATGCTATATGTATATTTTCCAATAAAGGGAAAAAAACTCGAATGAAAAGTGTGAAATATCCACACACACACACACACACACACAGAGAGAGAGAGAGAGAGAGAGAGAGAGAGAGAGGAAAGGAAAAAAGCAGAACAAGGTAAAAGAAAAAGCATGATGACTGCATCGAGAATGGGTTACTAACCATTTAATAAATGGTTGATTTGCATTCAATTTCGATACATACTTGTTTATGCTTTGATGGGCATTTGATTGGCTAGAAAGCATAATGAAATACGGACCAATTTGCTTAAACCAACCGTTCAATTGCATTCACATGTTTCCCATACACGCTCCGAACACTGACGATGTACGTGTGAATGAGTGAGTGAGAGGGTGTGTGTGTGCGTCCGTATGTGTCCGAGGCGTACATTGTTCTTCTTCCGATATCTTCATTATTATTTCAATGAAGTCCGAAATTCAGCATTTGGCTGAACCATCACATGACGTACACAAACAGTCACCATTTATCAGGCTCAATTACCTCAATTATCAATCAGCGCTCTTCGCTACTCTCTGTGTTACATAAATGCCCTAAATGTACAAATGGAAAATGTGAGACTGGTGTAAATAAGTGCAAAAGAGCTGAAATTGAGAAACATTTTTTTATTTCAGTCAATTGAACAACGGCTTTGATTGCATGAAGTAGCTGTTTAAATATCAAAAGTGACTAGCCACAAAAAAAAATACACAAAACAAAATCAATGCGTGCAAAGAAAAATTGTCATTGTCTGTGTCTTTTTTTTCGTTCATACTCATTGCTTGAATGAAAATTTCGAGGAGAGAGAAAGAGAAAAGAGATAGAAAGCGAATGAGAGAGAGACCGAGCATGTGACGGAAAGAATCAGCGACAGAGAGAGAGAGAGAGAGAGAAAGAGAGAGAGAGAGAGAGAGAAATGAACAAGAATAAAAACGCAGTCACAAGCAAGTAACTGGTTAACACACAAAATGTACAGCCACATTGAGAGAAGAGTGCAACGTTCCCGGATAGACGCAATAAACGCCATTGCATATGACAAAATACCGTACAATGTGTGAATTATGCAGTTGTAACCACTCACGCCTATCTAAATGATTCACACACAAGCACGACATATCGACTTTGAATCCTTTGCCAGTTTTTTTCCTTCTAATTTTAGATTTGCAATTTGGACATTTTTGTGATCCATTTTTAAATCAAATTTGTGTGAAAAAAAAATTAAGTACAAGTTTATTTATTTTGGACTCCGTATGTGTTTTTTGTTTTGTTTCTGGTGCCTTTCTTCGGTGGAAATATTCAATTAAAATTGTGCGCAATCGATTTCGATTTCATGTGTTATGTGTACCATATGAGCATACATTTCGTTTTCATTTTCTAAGCAGAGAACAAAAAGAAGTAATATTCGTGAAATATTTATCAATTGGGAAATGGAACGACAATGAAAATAATTTCCCAATACAGATCATGAAATTCGTCATTTGTCGTAACGAAATTCGAAATCAATATCGCTCAATAAGTGAAAATGGACTGCTGACTGTCATTATCTATTTTTGAGAGAATGAGAATGAGAGAAAAGAAAACCATTTGACTGAAACACAATTCCTTGTAGCTATTTAATCGTTTCTATTTGTTTTTGTAAGCCCGTGGCAGGAAGAATGCAAGTGCATTAACCAATAACTGAATTTTTTATTAGCTTTAGAAAACAAAACGAACAAAACCAAAAAAAGTAGCACCGAAATACATCCAGCTCAGACATTTACCGACACAATGTAAATCAATTATGAACATGTTCAACATCAATCGGTGAATAATGGGAATGTAGTATAATAATATGGACTGCTGTGCACATGAAATGCGTGGTTTATTCCACATAAGAAGCGTTCATCAGCCACAATTCACCCAAACTTATTCGGAAAACCAAAAGAGCAATTGCAAAAATATATATTTAGAAAATAACGAATAGTAGCCACTTTTTGCTTTTCGGAACGCAATTAATGGGAATTGCAGTGTCAGTGAATTTATTATCGATTTGTGCTATATTTTGAAACAAAACTTCGCCTAAATAATTCATCATCTATTGATTTTTGACGAATCAATCCGTCATTATTTATTCTAGCTTAATAATATTATTGTATTTGCGTGAATGAAATTTGTTTGGCACACATTTATGTGATATATCACAACAACAACAACATCAACATTACCGAAAACAGTCATCAACGGCAAAAACAGCAAAAATCCAAATCAAATGCACGAGAGACCCCAAGAGCAATTTAAATTTCATACCGTTACGATAATACGTCTACACACACACACACACAAGCAAACAAGCAAACAATTGTGTGTATATGGTTGAGCGGGAATTGGATCGAGCATTTGAATTTATTAAAATATCACATCCACTTATTAACTGCCGATAAAATTGCCGTTATTTTTTATTCATCATTCATATTGGATTGTGATGGAAAGCACCCCGAAAGCACCGTACTTGAAACATTTGAGGCAATTGCGGCTACTCCAAGCCACCCATTCGATTTGGATCGTAATTTATGGGAAAAACACGGCTCGAAAAAAAAATGTGTTTTTGACGCGAGCACGTCAAATTCAAAAGGCAAGAGAATTGAGAGAGAGAGAGAGTGTACCCGTACTCTCGCATTACCATGTTTATTTCCCTTCCGCTTTTGGCGTCAAATGTCTGAGTTTTACCGAATTAAATTCCGAAAAGAGTTTGAATGCGAAAACGCCGATGAATAAATGAAATTTCTTTAAACATTTGCACACCTATCGCCGTTTTATATGTTGTTTAAACTTGTCCACCGCTCAAGTACACCAAACGATTTGAATAGAAAAATTGGAACGGAGCTAAACTAAAAAGGACAAACACCCATGCACACACACAGCTATCGATAGAATGACTTATTTCTGTGGATGTCATTCTAAATTTGAATGAATTCCTTAAATTAAGTTCTGATATTTTCGATGTGTGTTTATGTGTGTGGGTCGGTGTATGTGTGTTTGTGTTCAAAAACACTACTTCACACCGTTCTATTGAAAATGCATGCTATAATAATTCTATGGGCATGTCATGAAACGAATTTTACTTTACGGCTTGGCCTATTTAAGTTTTGTTCTATTTTTAAAAGAAAGAGATGCATTGAAATCTGTTACACTGTGTCATTCATTGCAATTTGAATGCTGGAACATTATGTCTTTCAGCCATCCACAATCTAGTGACATAAAGCGGACTTTTTAACATGTTGTCCAATGCACGTGCATATGAACACATCGACAAATATGTATTGCAAGACAGCAACAGAGAGAAAGAGATAGATAGAGAGAGAGAGAGAGAGAGAGAGAGAGAGAGAGAGAGGGAAGGACAGAGAAAGAGGGGAAAAAATGCAACTAACCGCCTAAGGAACCAAAATTATATCCATACATTTTTCATAAAAACTTTGCGATGAATGGAAAGAAGGAATGAAAAGAAAACATTGTGTCCGAAGGAAGCAGAGTGTGAAACACAGAGGTGTTATTTCCAACGCATTCATTTGAGAGAGAAAAGACAAAAGCGAAATTATGTAATAAGCGTTTGTAAATGAGGAATTTAAACAAAATTTTAGATGAATTTAATGGATGTAACTTGTTTTAACATTCGTTTGATTATCGTCAACACATTTTCAACATCCAAATGCAACGTACATGTGGCAACATGTCATTTTGCATTTTGCTACCCCATCTCTCGCCCGAAATGAATCGCATGAGATTATTAATCGTTGTGGCGGTACATTCCGTCTGAATAATGTTTAATCGCTACAGTTCGTCTTGTGTTTAACCGACAATGTCGCCATTTGTATCACCAAAACATAAACATCAACAAACAAAAAAACAAACAAATACACACATAATTGGCACTTAGTATCCTTGAAGTCGTCGGTGCTTGTTATAGCGCTGTTGTGCTCGATATAATTGTTCCGTATTTCGTTTCAGGGAATGTAGAGTGACAGGGGAGATATGTTGAAATGCGTACATTGAACAGAACGATACATATCCAGTGAGAAGCACCGATACACACGGACACACACACACACACAACTGAGCTGCAAAAAGAAAACGTCGATCAATACATATCAGTTTCTTATGAATTACCACTGGAACGAAACACAACAGTAACAACAACAAAAATACTAACAGCAACAACAACAAAAACAAATAAACAAACAAATCGTTGATATCCATATTTTTGAAATCTAGTCATAACATTTAGAATCCTAGTCTTTTATTCAAAATAATCAGTCTCAAAACCAACAAAAAAAAGAAGAAGAAGAAGAAGAAGAAGAGTAGAAACAAAAAACCAAAGCAACAACAAAACTCAAAAGAAATCGTAGTCATGATATCACGACTGGTGCCGTTATTTTCGTTTACATTTTGTGTAACACAATTATTTACACCTGCACATGGAATTATCGATCGACTGGTCGTACAAACGAGCTCTGGACCGATTCGCGGTCGTTCAGTGAAAGTGGAAGGTCATGAGGTACATGTTTTTACCGGCGTTCCGTTTGCTAAGCCACCAATTGATGGACTACGATTTAAAAAGCCTGTTCCGGCTGAACCGTGGCACGGTGTATTAGATGCAAGCCGACTTCCACCAACGTGTGTTCAGGAAAGGTAAGAAAAAACATATCGATTATTATCATGCACTTTATTGCAAGCGAAGCAATGCCTTGCCAAGCAAACGCGAACGAATAAACAAAAAAAACATATGCACGGGTTCAATGGATGTTTCCGGTGAACTTTGGAAATAATTCTGTTGAATCTCATCTGTGTGAGACTATAACAACACACTCATATTGGATTTGAACTCTCTTTTATTTCGGTTCATTCGCAGGTACGAATATTTTCCAGGATTTCAAGGCGAAGAGATGTGGAATCCGAATACAAATATTTCTGAAGACTGCTTATATCTGAATCTTTGGGTGCCAGTCAAACCGAAACTTCGACATGGGAGAAATGCAAATGGAGCTTCTGGCGTAAGTTATTACAACATTCCATTTAATTGTTTTTTTTATTGTTGCGGTGGTGTGTGTGTGTGTGTGTGTGTGTGTGTGTGTGTGTGTGTGCGGCGGTTGTTGTTTTTCTGCTAGCAGTGCGCACTATTGAAAAACACCTGACCTCCTTGCCTTAGCTGCAGCTGCTGCTGCTACTACTGCTGCCTTTTGACTTTCTAATCGCATTTTCACACTTTGGCGCATTATTTCCTCTTGAAAAATGATGTTAACTACTGTTAAAGCTTTTTTTTGTCAAAGGCAAACGAATAACGTTCCACTGTGTGTGTTTGTGTTTTTTTTCTTTCTTTTTTACCCTTTCTGTTTCCCATTTTCGCTTTTACAGCATAATGGTGAGCACGAGCATACTACACATGGAAACGATGAAACACAAACAAAACCAAACGGTTTAGCGATGTTGGTATGGATTTATGGCGGTGGCTTTATGAGCGGTTCATCCACACTCGACATTTATAATGCTGAAATACTTGCGGCCGTTGGCAATGTCATCGTTGCATCCATGCAATACCGAATCGGTTCATTTGGATTCTTGTATTTGGCACCATTGTTGCCTGGGCGAGAAGAAGAAGTACCAGGTATAGTCAATTTTTCACACTCATTTTTGCACCCACTCTCTCACTTTGCAGCAATCGAGCTTCAACGAGAGAGAGAGAGAGAGAAAAAATGTTTAATTATTTTCAAACACAAAACAGAAATTGCGTAGCACTCTCGATTATTATTATTTGTCGTGCATTTGCACAAATGCAAAACAACAAAATGTTAGCACAACAAATTGCTTTTTTATCGATCCGTTTGCATTCGTATGGGCCTGTGTCTATGATATCATCACAATGATATTGGGAAATTGTATAGTTTTACCATAAAAAGCTGAATCTTCAATGAAAGACTGACGCAAAGATGATTTTCCAAAATGCAGACACACAAAATTATACACACGAACACGATTTCTCAAATCGAATTGAATTGAATTGCATAGCGATGAATCTAGCAATTTTTCTATATGCTTTATTGGTTTGAATGCATTTGAACGCATCGCATGCAAAACATCCACTTGCAACTTACTTCACATTACGCCAAGGAAGTGTAATCTATTATAAATCCCAATGAAAATGAAGCACTATGATTGACAGCACAACAAAAAACAGAGATAGTAATTCGAGTATCGAGTATATCCGTGCTACATGAATGCAAACACATTGTGACAAGTAGCCGGCGTGATTTGATTTGTGATAAATCACGGCTGTTCATTCTTGCATCGAACTGCATCACTCGAAATGTATGACTTTTATTAGTGGTGATGATTGTCTTATATGATTTTCGATGCTTTTCCCCCCCACAGGCAATGTTGGAATGTGGGATCAGGCGTTGGCGATTCATTGGTTGAAAGATAATGCAAGAGCGTTCGGCGGAGATCCGGATTTGATTACATTATTTGGCGAATCAGCTGGTGGTAGTGCAGTTAATCTGCATCTTCTATCGCCGGTCACAAGGGGACTTGCTCATCGCGGTATTATCCAATCTGGTACACTGAATGCCCCTTGGAGTCACATGGAGTCTCAAAGAGCCGTCGAAATCGGTCTCGCTCTTATCGATGATTGTAACTGTAATTCGACAATGCTGAAAGTATGCGATTTTATTCAATCTAAAAAAATGCTAACATTCAATAATGGTTTTGGGTTTTTTTTTTTTCTTTCCTTTAGGAACAGCCAACAGTTGTGCTTGATTGCATGCGAAAGGTGGATGCAAAAACGATATCTGTGCAACAATGGAATTCGTATTCAGGTATTTTGGGCTTTCCATCAGCACCAACTGTAGACGGTGTATTTATGCCAGCCGACCCAATGACCATGTTAGAAGAGGCTGACTTAAGCGGCATCGATATATTGGTTGGAAGCAACAAAGACGAAGGTTTGTGTGAATATTACATATCCATATTCGAATAGTATGACAACAATACGAGCGATAGTGCACAGATAGACTATTGAAAACCAAAAAAATTATGATTATTGGTCGATGCGTAATGAAGGTCACGCTCCGCTACGAAACGATACAATAAAACATAAAACAATAGCGACCCAAGCATACAAACAAACAAAAGAAAAACTCACGAAAAAAAAGAGCGGAAAAAATGGAGGAGAATCCGTAAAAAGCATCTATCTAGTCGCAAATTGTGTTCGATTCCATAAAACAAGAATCAAAATATTGATATGCATATGACAAGATTGAAAAATCACCATGGAATAGCAAGGAGAAAAAAAACATAATAACCATAGAAAGCTTCACTTTTAACGACAACACAACGGCAAAAGCAGAAGAAAAAAACGAATAGAAAATAACAGAAGTAAGAGAAGAATTGAACTTATGTATAATATACATATAATTTTATATGTATATAGAAAAGCTTTACCAATGATAATCAACGACCTTGAACTCAGTCCATTTTTCTCTATTTTCTGGTTGGTGGTTCGCTCAATTCTTCACAGACCATCTGCACTCACACGCATAAAAAGCCCGACTCCGTGTATATAAAGCGCGCACATAAAACAGAGAAACACACAGAGTGAGCGAGCAAGGGAGTGAGCGCAATAGAAAGAGAGAGAGAGAGGGAGAAAGAAAGAGATACACAGGTATTTTCTAACACGTTTATACCCAAACGCGATGATACACACGAAAAAGAATGCTTTTACACACGGAGGTCCGTTTATGCTTTTAGCCATATTAAAATATATATGGCGGTAAAAATTTTACGCATATACCGTACACCGTACGATGGTTGTCGTCGTTCTCTGTCATTTGCTCGCTTGTGCTCGTTCACTCATTCTCTTCTCTCGGTCTCTCAGTCGTACACCATTTCGAATGGCGTATACACGTGCTGGCTTGTGCATGTGTTCACGCGAGTGGCATGCTTGGCCTCAATCTATCTACGATATGTATGATTCCCAATAATATTCGGGAGGAAAGAAAAACCGAAAAGAAGAGAAATGAGCGCCCGTGAAACACACACACACACACAGAGATGGAGAGAGAGAAAAAGGAGACAAAAGGAGCGGAGACACGCTTCGGCCCATCGTAAACGATGATATAATATACTGGTGGTGTAGAACGAGCAAACCAACAAAAAGTTAAGTATTTGTGTGTGAAAGTACCGTTGAATATCCATTAACACGGTGGATTAACAATTGAAAATCCTGTCTGTGTCGTTCGAGTACACACAATTCTATGGGTTTTCTAAAACTTTGCTCCCATCTTTATGTGTCATCATTTTAATGAAAATTCAACGAATAAATTTACTGTCGTTTTTTTTTCTCGTCTTCTATTGAAAAGTTCGTTTTCTGTCGACGAATCTTATTTGACGAAAATTCCAAAGAACGAATCACGAACTAAAACCATACACATAGCCATATCGTTATATAATACAGCAGTATACAAGCACAGTACGCCAGGGTTCGGGTGAAAAGCTCGCTCACTGTCTTTGCAAGTATTTGAGAGATAGATAGAGAAAGAATGCGACCGAATGGCACAGAGTGTGAGTGTGTGTAAGAGAAAAAGTGCCGGATTCACCAGCGTGAGACTGGTTCGTTTCCAACAAACCCTCAAACAGACACATTTGTTTTTCTCTCAAATACACATGAGTACACACGCACCCGCTTCTTACTCACTTTATTTTACAATTCAATATATAGATTTTTTCCCTTCTACTTCTTCTTCTTCTTCTGTGTCGTCTATTATGCGCTTCGCCCGAGCAGTCAATTTATTTATTTATTATCCCATTCGCATTCACATTCGATCGTAATGGGTATCAGCGAAACAGAGTTTGTTTTGGGTAAATAAGGGAATTTTATTCTTCATATCTTTCTGGCTTTCACGATAGATGTTCGTCTTCTTTCTCTTTATTTTATTTTATTTTATTTTTTCGTCATTCGGCAACAGTATATAGATCACGCGGTTCTTTCAAACATAAAGCTTTAGCTTGCCACTACTAGCTGCTAACGGCTTGCTCCGTGCTGCGATGCCAAAGTCGTAAATGTCCATAGAAATTGCCAAAAAGAAATTCTTACCTTTCGTATAGTTTTTGCATGAAAAGGGGCTGTTGGCAAGTGAATTCGCACACATATTGAATGTTTTGACTCGTCCTCGATTAGAATATTGTGCATATCATCATACTCCTTTCGAAATCCGGTATGCCTCAAAAAATAAAAATGGCATAAAGAGGAAAGAGAGGGATAAAAAAACGAAACATAAAGTTTTTCCCGTAATTTTTTCGGCATTCGTTGAGTTTCACCCACAATGCACAGTTCACAGTGGTATTTTTCCCCCCAAACGATTTTGAAAACGCGTAAAATGAAAATCAATGTAATGTGGTAATTTTCGATTTACATTTCTGACATTGTGAAATGAACACATGACTTTCGACATTCGATCAACTCAAAGACATGACTTGCTTACCAAAAAAAAAAATTTCCCACTTCTTCTGTATCGTACGGATATTGAGCCAAGCAACTGGTAATTTTTCCCCCTACTCTGCTCTTCTATGGCATTTTCTATGTAAATTTTCCAACGTTGGGATGGATGAGCAAAGTAAATTAAGTTGGGAATAACTACAATCTTTGGTGTGCGATTGAAGCAAGCAGCAGAAAATCCACGCATTCCATTTTATTAAGAGATTTTATAATTTTTCTTCTTCTTCTCCTTCTTCTCATCGTCCATTCGCTACGTCTTGTGATGGGCTTGCTTGAGGATGGGTAATAGAAATGTTTGTCTGTATCGTGTCAGCGTTGAACATAAAAAGAAAGAAAAAAAAAATTTATAATAATAATTATTTTTCTTTAGACAACTTATATAAATAAGACTATAACTATTTGTCGCAAAGTTTTGAAGAATCCAGAAGAAAACCACAATCGATCCGAGCATTTTTTTCATGAATACTCTGCATCCAAAGCACCGTATCACAATCAGCATTACAAATTTGTAAATTATAACTTTTATTGGCATATTCACGATGAACCCGCCTTCATTTATTTCTCTGGTTTATTGTGGACTTTTATTATGTGTGTTGTGCGTTGTGTGAGTGTGTGTACGGGCCACTTACATTGGAGAAAAAAGGAAAACCGCACAAATACAACCAAATATAAATGGTGATTTACCAACACTTATACGCAATTCGCTGTTGAGGTAGTTTCGGATTTTGTTCCGGCATTTGACACTGCTTTGATTTACCGAGACAAAATAAACGAAGAGAAGCAGAGAAGGATAAAAAGAGTTTGCCTTTGTATGAATACTCACTTTCTCTCTCTTTCCTTCTAGCTTTTACGGCTCATCAATTTATCCATAGTAAATGATAGTTGTCAAAGGCTAGCCAACAATTATTTTGATTAATTTTTTTTCTTCACACTTTGTCCACATCCTCACGTGCCTTGCGAATGGTCAGTATCGTACCCACATACACACACTCGCACACATGTTTACTGTACATGAATGAATAAATTACGATCGGCCTAATGGAAATATGTGGAAAGTAGCACAACCGATTGCGGTTTTTCCTTCCGCGTTCTACTTTATTTAGATAGTAAGATGTTTCGTCTCGTTTTCTCTTTGATTGTCTTTCTGACAAATTCATTACTCAGCAATTAAGCGATTCGCTGTTCCAAACCACCTCGAGCTAGAGAATGTTTTTCAAGAAATTTGTATTTCGGTTCATTCATTATTATTATTATTATTATGTTTTTTTTTCTTCTTCAATAAATTCAGGCACATACTTTCTGCTGTACGATTTCATCGACTACTTTGAAAAAGATGCGCCAACATCGTTGCCGCGGGCCAAATTCCTCGAAATCATGAACACAATATTCAACAAACATTCGGAGCCTGAGCGAGAAACCATCATTTTTCAGGTAAATATTTAATGGTTCCAGCGAATGTAATAATCTGCAGTTTCTCAATTCAATTTCCATTCTTTCAATCTCTCTCTCACTCTCTTGCCCCCTTAACTCTCCCAAACAAATTGAATCGCATTATTTATTGGCATACGGAACACAACATACACACACCCATTGACTCAAAAACATACACGGAACGGCCCCGAATCATCGAAATCGAAAATGGAAATGTCAATGCAGTACACCAATTGGGAGAATATAAATGATGGCTTTCAAAACCAATATCAAGTGGGTCAAGCGGTCGGCGACCATTTTTTCATATGCCCAACCAACGAGTATGCGGCCGGTATGACTGCACGGGGAGCATCTGTCCTTTACTACTACTTTACACATGTAAGTACTTCTAACTATTTTATTACGTGCCCATATTTTCAATGTCAATATATCCATTATTGATTGACACGAGTGCTCTAAACATTAACGTTGTTTCCGAATGCTCGTGCGGGGCCATTCTACCACACTCTCTCCCTCTTCGGCTCTCTTAATCGTTTGAAGTTCCAATGCGTTTCTTCTTTGTCTTTTACTCACATTCTCCCTGCTCTCGTCTCTGCTCTTTTGCTTTTGTTTATGACTTTCATACCATTTCCGTTTTATTCCATCGAAATCGAGTTTCAACCAGACTTTGGGTTGGCCAGGTGAAGGACTCTCCGAATTGATTCGTTTCCCATTACGAATCGAGCAAATATATTGAAATTCCAAAGCTTTTCGTAACGAACGAACGAAAGAACGAACAATCGTGACAGATATCTTGAAACTAATTTCAGTGTCCAGTGAATCTATCATGTGCAGAAATGGCTGCGTATGAAAGAATGACAGGGCGAGAGGATGAACGAAAAAATGAATACTTGCCCAGAAACTAAGTAGGCCGTAAATCTTCAAAGCGTAACAGATAAACTGTTTGGAATCGATTTTATGCAAAAACTTTTCATTAAATTGACTTGGCGACTAACCGATGGACAATTTAATGGCGTTTGAGCAAAAACGAACAACGGCAGAAAAAAACACGAAAAGTCACTTCAACACCACCACTACCACTACCACCATCATCATCATCATCATCATCATCATCGACAACCAACGATAAGCAATCCAACGAACGAGCACGGCTCAAAGAGAAAAGCGGCAGTTCAATTAAATGAGCTTGTACTGAAAGTTCCTACTACTGTGAGTGTAGTGTAATTTTGAAGGAGAGTTCAAATGCTTGTGTACGGAACGTTATTTCAATAAGTGCGAAGGCACAAAAATGTCAACCATCAAAGATAATCCAAGGTCAATTCGTCTACAATCACATACACAAGTATTCCGTACATAAGCACCAAAAAGCACAACCAAAGTCTTAGATTTTATGCTTATTACGTTTGTATACATACGTATATATGTATGTACCGATGATACATGCATACGAGTTTGGTTTGAAGTGGTTTGTATATCTTAATGAGACTAACGGCATTGGTTCAATGAGAGAAAACAACGTATCTTTTCGAAATCCACTTATCGCCGTAGACTTTTCTAATCTATATAGTATGTATGCATTCAGGATGATTCGAATTGCCTTACAATTTCAACGAACCAACGAATGTATACACTTCGCCAAGACGGTTAAGTTTGTTTGCTTGACTTTTCCGCGGGAGAAAGAAAGAAAACGACGACGAAGAAGAGTGGAAAAAGTGAAAGTGCGTGCAGAAACGGCATTCGCTGGTAATAAAAGTGTATTCCGATTCGGTTCATCGTTGTTCACCACATTGGAAAAACTTCAGCACCAACAGCAACAAATGAACTTGAAATTATCTGTAATGAAGGAAATAATGTTTGTCTGTGTATTTAAAAAAATATATACGTATATATACATATATGTATATAGGTATGTTTTCAATTCGTTGATAACCGTATCACTGGGTTCTTTCTATTCTTTTGTTTGTGTGTAGTCGAGTAAGTGTTATTCTATCTGAACAAAACATCAACCCATTACCTGAAATTGGACATATTACATTATTTTCTTTATGTACTAAGTAAAACATGACTATTTTCCACCTCAGTGATACATGCAAACTTGCTCCTTAGGAATGCGTGTAGTTGATACGAATGTGTTTGTGTGTGTGTGTGTGTGTGTATGTGCATTTGTGTTTGTGCACTTTTCCCGTTTTTCCACGTTCGTTTTCAATTTATCGTATTTACATCGTACGCATTATTTATCGGCTAGCATACGTTCAAATTGAAGCGTCCAGAAATGGAAAGAAAAGCACACACATGTCGCGCGCGTGTAAGTCCCTCTGACTGAAACCGAATCGTCCAGCATACACCGTTGAGTTTTAGCTGTGCGACAGTTTTTACTTTCATCGATGAATTATAATCAAGTCAGACCCCGGAAAAAATAGAAAGACGGAATAAAATCAACTAATCAATAGTAGACACTTCTGACTGAAATGTTGATCTTGAGCATTGATTGCTAGGCATTGCATTGTTCACAGCGACGCAACACAAATACACAGGGCAAATCCATCCATTGAGTACATATATATATGTGAACGACAAAATCAAGAGTGTGTGACCCAGTATGTGGCGTACGTGAATAAATAAGGCAGATGCAAACAACTAAATGGATAACAATTTCACTGCTGATTGATTTAATATAGAACGGCTCCCTTGACAATGGAAGATTTTTAGGCAAAACTTTATAAGCGAGCGAGCAAGCGGAGAGAATATTTTCAAATAAATCCGCGCATAGCGTGTATACAAAGCTCCAGAGAAACCAAATCCATTTCACGCGACAGTCGTGTGACAAAACTGCAACCGCTGAATAGAAACATAGAGGCGAAGAGGTTGAGAAAGAGAGAGAGAGAGAGAGAGAGAGAGAGAGAGAGAGAGAGGAAGAAATGGTTCGAGAACCGAGCCACTGATTTAAGACGCTTAATTTATTTGATTATATTTTATTGCAAAATCTTGGAATAACAAAAACAATTTTCGATGAAAATGGCCAAGGAGAAGGTCATTTAATGCGCATTTTGTCGATAGTTCATAGCTGTACATGTACAATTACTTGGGCTGAAATCTTGATTACTTTATTTTTCTTGTTTTTGCTCTTTTTTTTTACTCTCGATTTGTTTCCATTTTGCTTGCACCAAAATTAGCGCACCAGCACATCACTCTGGGGAGAATGGATGGGCGTTTTACACGCTGATGAAATTGAATACATATTTGGACAGCCACTAAACAATTCACTGCAGTATAGAGATCGAGAGCGTGAACTTAGCCGTCGAATGGTGCAAGCTGTTAGCGAATTTGCTCGAACTGGGTAAATTTTTTTTTGTTTTCAGGATAAAGCATTTCGAAATGCGGTTTCGTGAAAATCAAAGTGCTAATTTTGCGTTTGTTTATTCGTTTGTTTTCGTATAGCAATCCAGCGTTGGAGGATGAAGAATGGCCTGAGTATAGCAAGGAAAATCCAATTTATCGAATTTTCAATGCCGAAGGTGATGGAAAGCATCAAAAGGAACATTTCGGCAAAGGACCAATGGCCTCAGCCTGTGCATTTTGGAATACATACTTACCACGACTTAAGACATGGACAGGTAACATTTGAACCAATTCCATTTATCGTTCGGTTTTTCTCCATTCATTTTAATTCTGACTTAACTAATTTTAACGTTTTCTTTTTGTTGTTCTTTTCCGTTGTTCTTTCTTTTCTCAACAGATGCAAATAATTTGCCATGTTCGGATTCAGTTCAAAGTAACAAAGCAGCAACGCCTACAGAACTTAGTTTATCTATTGGCCTTAGCGTGATTTTAATGAAATTAATTCAAAATCATCTCACAGGGATATAAAGAGGGTGACAACGCCAACAAATTTCGATGATGAATAACAAAACAATGCAAAGCAAAGAAATTCAACTTTGAATTTTTTTCTATTGGACAACGTTCAATAAAATGATTCAGTGAAATTGGATTGAAGAGAAAAAAACCAAAAACCGAAAAGTTAAGAAAAAACAAAACCAAAAACTAGCTGTTAGAGAGAATGCCCTTCAAAATTAAAATGAAAGAAAAACAAATTAGAAGTGTAAAAAAGAAAAAAAAAACCAGCAATTGATATCGCTGACTTGCTCCGTTTGCACGACAAGATAAATATCTTTTATAGAACTCGGAGATATTTGTGATATATTCAAACTCCAGGATGAACTTGAGTAAATTTAGAAGAAAACACACACTTTTTCCACCCAAGATACAAGAAAAAACCAAGCAAACCATTCAAAACCATAAAAAAATGACGAAGAACCACAAACAATGTAAGAAAAAGTGCGAAAAGGCGGACATATTTCTTTCCCGAATTGATGTCGATTTTTCTGAGATAAAAACAAAAACAGCAACATGCAACACTCAATCCTTGGGGTTCTAAATTTATTAAACAAACAAACAAACAAAAAACATATCAAAAAATGTATTAGGATTTCAATGGTGTGTTAAAAATTATTACCTAAATTTACTGCTGTGTACTTTTGCAACAATCCATATATTGCTCAGGCGCTCGGCTTACAACAACCACCATATCACCACCATCATCATCATAATTTTCGTTGCATTCGTTTTGTAGACTACTGCGAAGAAATGCGAAGGAAAGAGTGGGAAAGAATGCTCGATTAGTTAGCTCTTTTACACACCACACAAAAACCCAAAACAAACAGGAATAAAACACACACTGCTGTTAACCGAAGAAGTAACACCAAATTCTCTCACAACATTGATCACATTTGCCGTTATGCGCTCTCATTCGGTCGTGCTGAATGCATCGCATCGCGAGCGCACTTTGCATTGTTTGCAATCAACCTAGTGTCGGTTTGGCACCGCTAGTGTTCTATTTGTCAATAGCAACTTTTTTGATTGGTTGCCATACACTATGCCCAACTAAACTCGGTTCAACAATGTTCTAAAAGCAACAAAAGAGAAAATAGTATCCATTCAGGCCAATTTCCGTCAGTGTACCCAAGAGAAACGGCCAATATGTTTATACGCTGTCTATCCGCCGAAAATACACTACAATATATATTCACGCTTATTGGACGCCGAATTCAATATATATTGTAGTGTATTTTCGGCGTATTCTTCAGCGTGAAACATATTGAAACATATTCAGGCGCCCTCTGATAGCCATGAATGCATTCATTGATTCAATATGTTTCACGCTGAAGAATACACCGAATATACACTAGAATATATATTCAATTGGGCGTCCAATAAGCGTGAATATATATTGTAGTGTATTTTCGGCGGATAGACAGCGTATAAACATATTGATCGTTTCTCTTGGGTAGAGAATTCGCATTTTGCCAATACCGTTATCCAATGGCGCTAAAAAGTCTTCCAAATTCGTTTGACATATGTAATCGTTCTCTTTAATTGTTATCACGAACACATTTCAACAATCGTTTTCTCTCCGCTGCCCTACCTCCCCAAAAAAATCGGTGTCAATGGTTGATTGAGTGCATTTGTTTTTGACGAACAAAATACATTTTGCCAATATTTCGGATTGTTATACGTAAAGAAGTGTTACTTACGTCACCGGCGAAAAACCAAAGCGCTTTCCGTTGATGGAACGGTCAACAATTACGCTGCTCTTAACAATTTCAAAAATGAACGGTTCCACGTACGCAACATTGAACGAAATATGTGGAATTTAATTTTGTAGGAGCTGCAATAACTCTCATCATTCTTCTGGATGCGCTTGTTTTTCCATTGCCAAAGCTTCATATAAACAATATGGATGTAAGCTTGATATTCATGCTCATTGTAAAGTTAAGTTGCGTTGTAATGTGTCGTAACATCCACATTCAAGCTTCTCTTCAAGCTATGCCAAAGCATAGAACGAATACAATAAAACTTTTATTTTGTTGGATTGATCTGATCTCTGTTAAGCACTTCAAGTTGTTTTATCCATTCTTTTAAAAGGATTTTATCGCATTCGTACGGTGTATGGAGTTTTTGGGCAAGAATTTAAGATGCCACTATGGAATTCTTTTACAAATTTTGGTTTATTTGTTCTCATTTCATTTCCACACAAAGAATGGCTGAGATTTTTTTTGCTAAATATTGACGGTATCGAATGTTGTCCCTCTTGCACTAACTGCTGCTATCCTGTTGACGTAGTAGTGCATACGTTGCATGTCACCGCCATAAGCTTTATCATACTCTGCAACAGTCAATAGTCTGTTTGGAACAGAACAATGAAATCAGTTTATCCGTACAAACATTTACAACCAATGTCCATATTCCTGAAGTCAATACATTTACATTTGCATTTCTAACGTTTTTTTTCTTCTCTTCTTTAAAATCGCGCAAGTAATAACATTCACCGCTAAACCGTTTGCTTTTGGCCATGGGCTTGTTCATGTTTCTTCTGCTTTTGTTCGTATTGTTGTATAAAACGTTTGCATAAAATAAAAACCAGCAGAGGAAGAAAAAACACAATAATATTCATCAAAAACGTATTGCTCGTCTATGATTAGTTCATATCATTTATTTAGAAAATAAATAAATTGAAAAAATACAAAAGAGTCGGGAACTTGTGTCCGCTGTGTATTGATTTAAGCTATTCGGTGAAATTGAAACAAACAAAAGAAAGAAGAAAAAAACAACGCGTTCGCTGAATTACGTTATCTGTTGGTAGTTGCATTGTGTCAATTTTAGCAAATGAAATTACATCAAGACCATTCAAATCACGAATACTCCAGCCGGAGTTAAAATGCCTCCTAAATACACATATCATTTGGATGACATAGTTAATGTGCATCCAAAAAAATAAACAAGAGAAACAAACTAAAAATTAATGATTGATGTTGCTCAATCAAATTTCATTTTGTATGAAACCAAAAACAAACAAAAAAATGTTAAGCATCTTCTACTTTATAAGCGTACATTTGTAAGCACAGGTAAACGGCTAAATCGGGACAAAATGAAGAAAAAAAAACCATTATACCCCCACACATACACACACACACACACACACAAAATATGTTGATCAAACGATTCAAATATATATCTAGATTTAATTTACAATTGAAGAGTTTACAGTTAGGATTGTTTCTTCTTCGTCTTGGAATTTTATTTTCAATTTTCTCGGATTTAAACAAAGAATACAACAAACAACCAATACATATCATATGAATACAAAAAACCTTTACACACAGAATTTGTTGGCTTTTACATTTTCTTGGGAAAACCGAACAACTACAGAAAAAGAAAACTAGTACACAATGCATTCCAAAAGCGACAGTGTATATGAAATTCAATGTTTCCATGGTGCTGAACCGAGAAAACTAAATGATTGCCTCCCCCCAATCATTCCTCAGAAACACATACTCTATATATAGATAATTAAATGAGATGAAAGAAGAAGAAGAAAAAAAAAACGAAATAAAAATTTACCAAAGTTTAAAATAACATGAAATGATATGCATCGTTTAGATTGTTGATATGAATATGGAAGAGGAACATATATAAATTAGAAATATATTCGCCAATGAGACCTAACCAAACGTTTAAGTATATAGAAGAGAAATGAAAAAGAAAACAAAAAACAAAGTTAGTTTTATAAAGATATTATGAGAGCTCACGGTGAATATAGTAAGTAAACACATAGTTTATATTAGAAAAGATGAGATAGAATTAAAAAGAAGCTTTCATCATGAAGAATTACTAAAAACTTGTCTTGTGTGTGTGTGTGTGTGCGCGCGCGCGACACAGACGGAGAGAAAGGTAGAAAAAGAGCGAGAAAATTAAGTTTAAATACAAAGAAATATATTAATAATAAATGAGAAAAAAGAAACTCTCTCTCACACACACATATGATTTCATAAAATAGAGATGGCAATAAGTAATGAATGTGTTGAGTAGATACACGAAAACATATCAGTAAAGTGCAGCTTCATATTGGGGAGAAAAAAAATTTAACTACATACGGTATAAGTCGTTGACCGTGTTTGTAAATAACAAGTCTTCTATACACTTTTTAGACTCCGTTTAGTCATATAAATATATATTGGATACAAGAACAAGGAAATTTAATGCATATCATGAACAACAACATATACAAGAACAAGAAAAATAAACAACAACAACAAGGGAATAAAAATGAGATACACTACACACAAAATAAGCAACTAACTAAATCGAACTATTACTCATCAGACTTGATTTAATTAGAAGTCGAAATATTCGAACAAAAGAAAAAGAAATTTTTTTAAATGGAACTGAATGAAAAAAAAGCAAAATCTATTCTGTGTGATCGATCTAAGCTCTAATATTAAAGTAGCCAATTTGTTTGAAAGTAGGCTAAAACAGAACAACAACCAAGAAATAAGCAAAAAAAAATTCAAACAAAACCAAAAGGTAAAGCAAAAATATATAAAATATAAATATGAAACAAATAAATATATATATTGCACTGTTATCAATGGAAATGTTCATTTTATGATTTGTTATGGAACTAGTGTCGCATTGAAGTATATATTAGATTAAATTATGGCAAATTAAAATGTTGTATTTTGTACAAGTTTAAAAAACAACAATTGAATGTGAACATTATTTCGATAGGAAAACCAAAAAAAAAAACATTTCTGGGACAACTGGCGCACTCACATGCAATGCATGCAAATGGGCAAGTTTTAATTCATAGAATCCGGATTTGGTGCAAGTGATGTTGATCTTCGTTTGGGCAAACAACAAAAAGTAATAGCATTTCTCATTGCTCTTGATCGTATACGGTCATTTTGCTACCCAAAATAAAAGGAGAAAATTAAAAGCACACAACCAATTGCTTAGTTTCATATCGTCGCGTCAAAACTCATTGCACCAAATCACCTAATTGTATTTTTGGGAGAGAAAAAAAAAATCTGTAGTGTATTTACTCGAGGCAAATTCTATATTAGTTAATATGTATTAGGTATAATGACAAATAGTGTTCACTGGAGAAACAAAGAGAAAAACAAACGAATACTCAATCAAGCGAT